AAGAGAAAGACAACTTTAAAATTATAACAAAATGGATTAACACAAAAATAGAGTTAATGAATTAAAAACAAGTCAATAGGAAATGCATGACTAATGATAAGAAAAAAATTCTCATGACAATATTTTTTGTACTGCATTAAATGTAAACACACTAAAAATGATTGTTTTGGACATAATTAAAAAAAAAATAATGACTTCTGGTAAAGTGAATTAGAGAGGATTTTAAGTTAAGCTAATGCATCAAGCCAGATGCAAAAGAAGTTCCATCCTGATAACAAAGTTCTTTAGTTGTATGCCCCAAAAAGTCCATGGCCAAGACACAAAATAGTTTTTCTGTTTTGTTTACTCATTTACACCATCATGTTCTTGTCTAAACAAGCTGTGTCAGTTTCATTTTCTTCGTGTTTACAAAAAAAAAAACTTGTGCTAGCATTTTCTTCACTATACATTGCTAACAAAAAGTTATTTTAAAATAAATTAGCAGCCAACAATTATCTCCCCCTAACACTACAAAAGTTGGGATCTGCATAACAAAAAACAAGCTTTGATATATTTCAAAGTAACTGAAAATTATCAGTAAACTGGCAAATTAACAAGCATCTATATTAAAAAAAGCATTGTTTCTAGAGCAAACAAAACTAAATATCAAATAAAAAGCAATCTTAAATCCAAAACAAAGTGACCAAACTATTTAGTTAAGAGGTTAATATATATATATATATATATATATATATTTCTGAGATGAGGTATTGTAGTTATTTACATTATTTACATTGTTCAGACTGTTGTCCTCATCTTTATATTCATGACATTTTGGCCGTTGTATGCTCTGGCCTTCTTCAGGTGTTTGGAATTTTAAACTGAACCTTTTATTTCATCCACCAGGGTAGATTGTTCTAGTTCAACTTTCGGATGTCTCAGTTATCTCCCTTTAACTCAACTCTCCAAGATTTTGTTCACCACTGCAGTAGCCAGGTATTGGATTCATAACTCTTTGGGTCATGCTTTTATCCATTGGGCCGTGTGTCCTTGAGTACATCAGTATATGAATTTTTATGACTTATCAACTTAATGTCTCAGTAACCTTTTTTTACCAGAGTTCATATTGCAATTTTTTTGCTGTTATTGCTTTTCTCAAGCACCTTGTATTACTTGTTCCCATATTGTATTCATTTCTATGCTTAGCTGGCTTAGGAGACTTTTGTGGCCTAGTATATGTGCTGATTCCTTTTCATATTTTAAAGTGATTATTTCAACCTCATCCCACATGGGGTGGTGATCTCCCTTCTCCCTCCATATGTGGTCAGCAATGTCTGATTTTTCTATTTCTTCTCATGTTAAAGCTTTTCTGTTTCCCTGTCTCATGAGGGGAAATAGAAAAATCAGAAATAACTGAGACATCAAAAAGAGGCATGGGATGTGGAACTAGAACAAGCTACCCCAGTGGATGAAATAAAGGGTTCAGTTTGAAAATTCCAGTTACCTGAAGAAGGCCAGAGCATGCAACAGTGAAATGTCATGAATATGACAATAACCATGAGGACAACAGTCCAAACAATGTAAATAATATAAATAAGAGGCTAATACACTTGAATAATGTCATAAATTTGAATCTAACTGAAAACAATTTTTCTGTATCGTAAATTTTAAATTTGCATTCTCTGAAAGAATGCAAAATTAAAATTTAAAATTTCATAAATAATAAACATATTAATAAAGCCTGTTGAATAAATTTTGTTTGAATGAATAATGTAAATGTTTATAATATCTTAACTAGAGTAAAGTTCACAAAATATAATTTTATACTTCAAAGATGCAAAAATATTTATACAAGGTATATTTGGATATATAAGCACTCACCAATGGAGGGATGGCATCATCTGAATCAGATTGGGGATCAGATCTGCAAAACAATAAAACTGTTTTAGTTTTTCTTATAATTTTTCATATGAACTATTTTTACTATAATTACTTCATCACTATTTTAATTTCATCTTATTATTGCTTTTTATCATGACATTTCATGTTGCTACACACTTCAACTGTTAAAATAAAGATCTAATTTTTTTTGTCTAGTTTGGTAAAAAAAAAAAAAATCACTTACTATTCTTTAGTTATTTAAAAAATGTCTGTTGATGAAGAAACTGATTAAATATAGTTAACTAAATGATTAAAAATGTACTGCATGTCAGAAAAAATAAATTTTTTCCATTTTGGAAAATGTTGAAAAAATAAAATAAGGCAGACATTAATTAACTCAGTGCACAAATGCTGTATTAAAGACAAAACATTAATTTCTCTGATATTTACATTCTTTGACAAAACTTAAAGTTAATGGTAAATGCATAGTCATTTTCTTGTACTTAAAACTTATTCAATAGTCGTGCAACCTTTGCAGATAATATAAAATGTCAAGTCTCTTGAAATTAATCATGCTAGTCTCTGTTAAATCCATATTTTTAAAAATATTTTCTTCTATTTTTCTTGCAATATAGTTTAATGAAAATTTTAATTTGTGTTGTTTAAATAATATGATAAATGTATTTTAAGTGAGTCAATATTCTTAGATTGGACAATTTTTTAAAAAGGTCTTGAAGTCAATTTTGTCAGAATTTATAAAAACAGTTGACTTGTAATTATAGTCAAATATTTTATACTGCATAAAAAAAATTCTTTAATGAATACATGTTAGCAAAAATGTACATAATTCCAAAGGCAAATAATACACATTACATTTTGTCTTTGTATTTGAACAGCATTAGATTTATGACAATTTAAGAACATTGCTAGGGATGTCCCTAGAAAGTATTAATCATGCCAAATCCATGTGATTCTAATATGAGTCTATATTAGATAACAAATTAATAAAAATTTACTGTTCAAATCCTTGATAGTGAAGCACTATAATTTTCATGAATTCATATTTAATTGAATATAAATAACAAAATACAATATTTTATAGAGAATGGTCTTTAAAATTTTTAAATTGGTCATTTTTTTTAATAAAGTAGAATTATGCAGAACTGACTTGTTGGAATCTGTACAAAAATGTGGTGTTGCATAAAAGCAAGTTTTTGTAGACAAACAGCAAAGCTTTGTAGAAGCTGAAAATAAAGTGGTAGATTTTTTTTTGAGTTTTGCACTGGCTGAAGATCTGAAAATACAAAACAAGTCAGTGAACAAAACATTACCATTTGCAATGTGGACTGTTCTTTAACATTAAAAACTAAAAAGAAAAAAAATACAGTGGTACCTTGACCTATGAATTTAATTCGTCCCAAGAGTGGATTCATAACTGAAAATTTTTTTTATTAAAACAATTTTTCCATTTAAAATTATAGAAATTAAAATTAATTCATCCCAAGCCCTAAAAATATTGATATAAAAATTGAAAAATTGTATTTTATGCAAAATTAAAAGACAATTTTTTTTAAAGATTATACACAAATAATGTAAATAAATATATCACTGTGACACCTTCCCAGGCTTTATCAATAAGATTTAAGCAATTTAAAATACTCTTTTTGATCCATCAAAAAATTATCTTAGGGTCAGGTTTGTATTTTGGTAATTTAAAAACACCTCTGAAACAAGGCAAATTTTTATCACATTAATTTTGCAGCCCTCATTGTCTCACTATGAATGCTTTTTTCTTTTAAAATTTTTCAAACTATTTTCAGCTTGCTTTAAATGCATTTTCATCTTTCAAAAGACAAATTTAGTATTTTTCTGATAAGATCCATATGTACGATGCCCTTGCATTTGCATATGTAATATCTTCAGACTCAGAATCACCGGTTTTTTCATTCATCCAAAAAAAAACAGCTTCTCAATATCTTCTAGGGCTTCTGAATAATGCTTGGTAATTATGCTAACAAATTTGGCTACATCAAGCTTTTTTTTTTATTTCTATATTGTGTTTTTTAGGATAGTGCAAATTGTTGATGCTGAATGTCCATATAGATTGTACAAGGTCAGAAACACAGGTATTCTCTTTTGTGCTTCTAAATGAGCTCCTTCTTCATTTGCACGGATCTTTTTTTTAAAAAATTTAGTAGCAACCAGCTTTTGGGTGACATTGTGGGCTAAAAATTATCAAAAAAAAGCCACTAAAATTTAAAATTTATTGTACATCGTTCAGTAATATATAAGTACAGTAACTGTATAATAAAAAATTTAAAGGAACAAATTGAAAGTGGTGAAATGTATCGCATACAAATCAACCTGAACCAGATGTTATTAGTTTATTTTACTGCATAGTTTAAATTTTGTATCTGCATTTTATACATTTTATTTTACTCTAAATTAAATTTTATTTTTTTTATACATTTTTACTACTGTACCCATTATATCAATAACATCAATTTAAAATTCATTGATTATAAACTGTATATTAGAATATTGCATTTTTTAAATTACATACAGAGATTAAATGAAATGAACTCAGCATTATCATTTTACCTACTTTTAATTCAATAAATTTAAATAAAATGTACATGTACTGTATTCATTATTGTGCATAAATGTTTGCACATTATTAATTTTCTTTTTTACACTTACACTAATATAATCACAAATATCAAACACTAAACAAATATTTATTCTATCAGGTAATAAAAGAGGATTGAGCAGAATGATGAAATTTTGTAGCATCAATGCTGCATCTTTTGTGATGGAACTTAATTGAAATATTTGTAATTATAATAACATAATACAGTATTGTATATAAAATATATTAATATACAAAATATATAAAACATAACAATAGAAGAATAAAAAATACATTATAAAATATCAAATTTTTGCAAATATTTAGTAGAGTGCAAAACAGTTAAAAAAATATTGCAATATTTTATATTACTAAATATTATATTATTATATATAAAAAATAAAAAATATAGAATACAGTATATTTAGATAAGATTAAAAAGTATTTATGGTATATTTATATCAAATATCTAGTTTGAAATGCAGTGGCAGGAAAATATTATTAATTTCATAAGTTGAAATTAATTAATAGGTCTTTTTAAATTTTTTGACAAATTTTTGCTAATAAGGTGAGTTTTTAACAAGTGAACATTGTTCATAAGTTGAGGTGCCACTGTAACTAATACCTGTAATTGAGGATCTTAAAATAATCCTTTTAAAGAATTATTATTTTAAAATTACATCATGAATCTATGTAGCAATATTAATTACTAAAGTGTGTTAAATTTGAACAACACAATTAATTTCTTATTTTCTAATGAAATCAAAAAAACCCACCACTTTAATAAATTTTATTACTGAAAATAAATTGGTTTGCTTCAGATATAAAAAAAAAAGGTTAAAACTCTAATATAAGTATTGGTTTTTAAAGTAGGTACCTCCATGAGATTGCTAAAAAAAAAGAGCATAGCATGATGAAAAAAGATGCCAAATTTGACGAAAACAAAATTTTATCGTCTAAATGCTTATGTTATTATTAAAAGCAGAAAGACCAAAGTTTTTTAAAAATTTTTCCTTATTTTTAGAACATTCTAAATTTTGATTAAAAAAAACCTTGTTTCTCTTTGTATCACTGGAACTAGTAAAATAACATATACAATTTTTAGCATGTTTTTTTTTGTATGACACACATTGGAAAATCTTGCAAAAATAAAAATAATTGTCGGATGTTAATGAAACTTTCAGAAACTATTCACAGATGATTGAAATTATTATAAATATGTTTTTTTTATTAAAGTCATGGCAGAAATATTTTTTTTATATTTATTACCCCCCCACCTAACTAATTTTATGAAAAACTCTAGAAATTCGATCAAGTCGGTTTTAGTGATTACAATAGTTAAAAGCACAAGGCTTTGAGGAATGCAAATCAGGTTTTTTTTTTTTTTTTTTGGATTGGACCCCCCCTACCTGAAAATCAGCTCTGAATTGTAACATACAAAACTCAAAAAACAAAGATATTATTTAATTTCAAATACTTTTATTTGTTTTTAATTGTTTTTATGAATATGGACAATATTTTCTGAAAGCAAAAGATTTTTCCGATAAAAACTGAATTTTTAATACATTTATTTGTTATTTCTTTAATTATAATAGATTTTTGCATTTAAGTTGTTAAAATATTATAAAATTAGTTAAAAGCCACATCCACTTTCATAAATGTCCTTATGAGATAGATATTTTTTTTAGTGCGTTGTAAATTGTATAATTTTGACTAATCAGAAGATCCGCATTAATTAAGAAATGTAATTTTGTGTTTATAATCGGGCTGTAATTATAAAGTACAGAAGACCAACCAGAATACAATTAAGTTGCATTATTTGAGTTAAGCATTGTTCTCCGATGTTAAGGCATTTACTTTTGCAAAACACATGTGGAGAAGTTAATTTGATTTTTCAATTTCAACTGAGAAGGGTACCTACAAGTATCAGTATCATCTTATGAAATTTATATGATCTTATTTTTATATTAATCTCAGTTATGACATTTTTTCCATAAATGAAATATCAAAATTAATAATAAAATGAATGGAAATACAAATAACACAGTAAAATGTAATAAATGTACATAAAATTATAGTATTTTATGTACACTTCTGATAAAATTTCATAAGAAAGGTACCTATAAATTAATTAGATACCTTTCTTATGAAATTGAAATCTCACTCTTAACAGTCTTATTTTTTTAATTTCTTTATAATATATTTTCCATAAAGCATCGTAAACATAAAGGTGAAAGCTAAGTACAAAAAAAAAAAAAAAAAAAATTAGAGCACTGAAAGTTTTATAACAAGATAAATAATTTGTTCACTTAAATCTAAATAATTTCACTTTTCTCCTTCTGTAGAACAAATTATCCTCATGTAATCTGTCAATATGTCATTCATCACATGTCTAGTGATGCGAAAGGTTATGAGCTGCTTTGTTTTATTTTCAAATTACATCTTTTCGGCACAGAAGCTAAGTTAAGCTTGGTTCAAAATATTTTAAATAATCATTTTATAATTTCTGATTTTCTTAAAATAACTTTTGAAAAAATGATAATTGATTTTTAAAAGAATTTCAAACTGAGATTTTCATTTTTTTTATAAAATGGAAATGGTTGCCATGATCGATTATCTGTCAATTTTGCTGAATCAAAAAAAAAAACAAAAAAAAAACAAGATTTTTAAGGAAAATTTTGGCCGTGCTAGGAACGATTAAAAAATGCAAAAAAAATACCCCCAAAATACTTTGATCTTTCCTCTTAATAATAACACAAACATTTAGACAATAAAATTTTGTTTTTGTCAAGTTCGGCGTCTTTTTCATCATGCTATGCTTTTTTTTAGCGATCTCATGGATGTACCTATGTTAAAGAGAGTGTAACAAAAACTTACCTGTCTCCAAATATTATAATTTTTGGAGTTAAGTGCATTTCTGTAAATTAAATCAATATTTTAAAGAGTGTGATTTGTGCGTGCATATTTAATGTATATGCAGATATCCGTGTTGCGCTTGTGGCATTTAATGTACACACAATTTGATTGACTTTGAAATAAGACATCCCTCCCTTTTACACTCATTTGGGACAATCCCTACTCTGGTTGAGCAAAAAAAACAAAAAAACAAACACAATTTTTTTAAATCCTAAAAAGATTGTATTTTTAGGAAATTATTTGGTAATAAACAGAATTAATTTTTAAGGTTTTAGTTTTTTTTAATTTTGTAAAAATATTATCAGGTCACTGAATTAAAATATACATGTGCACACATAATTTGCAAGAAATTGAAATGGGCATCTGTATTGTGAGGGCTAATTTTCCTTTCTGTCTGGCAACAACCCCTGGAAGCCATTTTTATCACTCCTTCTGTATTTAAAACTGAATATATTTTCTAATAAATGTAGTATTTTAAATGGACAAACAATTCAGATTTGAAATTTGATCATCTTGCCATCAAGGAATTAGCAGGTACCAAACTAGTGTAAGAATAATTTATATTGTTTAAAGAGTTTACCTTACATTCTCCACTGCGATTTTGAATGACCACTTCATGAAGATGCTGGATGGTTTCATTAACAATATTCTCAAACAGAGCAGGCTGTTAAAAAAAAAAAATCAAAGAAAGTAAACAGCACTTACTAAAAGGTTTTTAGATCATTTATGAATTACTGATCAAGTTGCTGTGAAGAGAGAATATGAATAAGATTATTTCATGAGAATCTGCTTTTTCTATTGTAACTATATCCAGATATAGACCATATATATGAAAGCTTGGCCAATTTTATGACATGTCAGTCATATGTTGGGTTATTTAATGTCAAATTTTGTATGGGGCATATAGTGAGAGTCTAACTCACAATTCAGCAGTAATGGTCAACCAAACTAGCTTCGCTAACCATTACCTGATGTCAAGGTGCCAGGTTTATGAAATGGTGCATTGAAAAGAAAAACAGATGTAAATATATGGAATTCAGATGGTTGATTTATTGGACTGATTATGAACAGATGTTCTTGAAAGGGATGAATCAGAGTATAACTGCAGCTTTGTTCCAATGCCAGCCATCTTCATTAAATCTTGTTATTTATATGTCAGCAATCCAGTGCAGATATCCCTTCCAATATAGGTTTTGGTTTAGTTTATTTTACGGCATATCAACCCATTGAGTGATTTAATGCTGAAATTTCTTGTGAGCAATAGTAATTTCTTTTATGAAAAATGTATTGATGGTAATTTTTGTTTTTTCTTCAAAAATGTATTGCTGGTAATTTTTTTACTATGAAAATGTATTGCTGGCATTTTAACTATAAATTTTTTTTATACTTTCATAGGGTCTTGCTCCCACTTTGATGGTTAACTATTCACCCATAGCTGGGACTCTAAGAAGTGCTACCACCCCAGGTCATTAATATAATGAATTGTCATTAATGAGAGATGAAATTGAAATCAACAAAAAGCCAACGTTAATAATAATTGGTAAAGTCAATTATTCATTTTATACTGTACTAACACACACATATATATATATATATATATATATATATATATATATATATATATATATATAAGGGGGGATATTGAAGATTTCTTTTTACAACCAAGAACTGATTCAAACCTGATGTCAAAAAAAGAAATATAGAATCTTTTGCAAACTGTATATTAAAAATTAATTCACGCACTAATTACTGAGTTTCAATTATGATAGATTTGACATTAAAACAGGAACTCATGAAAAGGTTTCAAACTCTAATTAACAAATGCTAGTCATTTACACCCACCCAAAATATTACTCAAAGTTTCTGTGCAGTCTTACCTATCTTGCTTCATTTTTTTTTGGCAATTTGCAATTCATAGGATAAAAGTAAATAATTTATAATTAGTGTACAGGTTAAAGGATTTTTGCTGCTTCTTGATAATGCCAAATATAGGTGATTTTTTTCCCTTGTTGTTAGTTGACTAATAAAGCTTAAATCATATTTCCAGTAACTGGTTGATAGTTATAAAGAAAAATACATAAAACAACAAACAAAACTAACCAGTTGAGTAGTTCCTCCATATTCATCATCTGATTCCACAGCCCAAGTTTCTTTTGAATGCAAAGATTTTACTTCTGTAAAAAGCATATGAAAAATCAAAGGAATTTAATATTTTCGTGAATTATTGAGATAAATATTTAAGAGTGAATATTATTGAAACTGTTCTATCTTTCAAATTCAATCAGAGATATAGACACCATATTGCTATTATGTAATGAAAAACAGATTTTCAATGCCTGTTGATAGAGTTAAAAGAATTAGCCTTGTGCTTCACAAAATAATTGATGATTAACATCTATAGTATTTTAATGTTACTTTGTAGTAATAATGGACACAAAAATCTATTAACTTACCTGTAATGGCTTGCTCGAGCAGAGTGAACATGCAATGTGTACGCATATCAAAGGCTAATTCTTGAATCAATTCTGTTGAGACACTGGGGAGATCAAGACTGGATAAAGAACTGACACAGGACCTGAAAAGAGAGAAAAACATAAATAAAAATAACAATTTTTGTTTTGATTTGCATTTTTCTGAAGAAAATGAAATTAAAATTTACAAAATCCTCTTCTTACAAAGAATATCCATAAAGTAAGGTAGATAGGCATAAATTAACTGAATTTAAAACATTGTAAATGTTACAAATACAAAGCAACAAGAGGTATGCAGTAATCCTTGTAACAGCCAGAACAGCCTTAATATAGAGTCTATATGTATATGATGTCACAACAAAGATCAAAGGTCATGGTGTAATAATATTTTTGCATGCCTAGAGCCAAAAATTCACTATGAACATGTTGTTGTGTATAGTGAACATGTAATGAGCAGAACATGTATTTACCTGGTGTAGTGTATTCACAGAGGAAGCATATGAATTTGCAGGACAAGCTTTGTGTAGAATGCCCATGTTCATCTACAACAAACAACAACAACAATGTCCCCAGTGAAGCTTTGATTCAACCAGATAAAGATGGTGTAAACTTTTTGATATGGCTGTGGAACTTGATCTTTCAAAGTCATGAAATCATCCATAAGAAGGATATCAGAAAGTGTCATCTCGGGCTCCAAAGCATTTCAACTTTTGGAACAGCATAAGAGTTCATAGAGTATATTATCATAAATAATGAGACCTGGGTGAATCCCATTGCTTTGGGAGCAAATGTTGATTCTATGGCAGTCAGTAAAGATGGCAAATGTGTTTGAAGATGCAAAAGATGTGCAATTCATAGACTTCATACTACATGGTGAAGACATTTAACCCAGATACTATGAAACTGAGACTGAAGAGATCAGAGTGTTCACATAATGGGGTATCATCCTACAACACAACCATGTCACATGGTCAAAAGAGTGATTCCAACAATATAGTTGGTATGTTTGACTGCTTTCACCACATAATCTGAAAGAAATCAAACCTATCATCTGTTTGGAACCCTCAAATGCAGTTACTTAATACCATATTCTTGAAACAGAGCATTTACCTGATTGTGCACCAATAAGATGAGTGCACCAATCTCAATGGTATCTATGTGGAAAAGTATCATAGAAGAATCGGTAACATATACATAATATTTTTTGTATAATAATAAACAGATTGGATCATTAAAATGTTTGTACCTTACTTTTTGGACATTATTTGCAAATAATCATCTGAAGTAATTATTATTAAATAGACCATGTGTATTGTAAATGTATATATTTAAAAAAAAAATGAGTAAATAGGATAAATAAAAAATAAATAAAAGGAAAAGTGAAAATGTGAACACAATCCAAATGCAAAAATTAGTGTCATTTTACTTGCTAAATTCTAAGTAATTTTGGATACCAATTATCAAGATTGTCAAGTAATTTTATCAGAGAGAAAAAATAATACAGTAAATTGTAAGTTTAATATGAATAACTGATTAAACAAGAGTAATAAAATAGTTTTTCATTTTTAGCATTTGCTCATTTCATATAAAAATTTGATATGTTTTTTCTAAAAGAAATACATTATTCTTTTTTTTTAATTCTTAGGCCATATTCTCCTAATATTAACTTTTGCTTAAATTTCCTTTGCTTTAATTTTTGACATGTTTATCTTTGATCTTCTTGGTTTTTATTGCAATGCTCAAATTGTTTTATATAATAGATCAAAAATAAAAAATGTTAGCTGTGATATTTCAACTGGCATCCTGTATATTTAGATACACATATGGCATGGATAATACAATACCAATTTCACCAGCAAGCTAAATTAATCATATAGTTGCAGACATTCTAGTCTGATTTCTCTACACCATATTATTTCTTTACTGTCTAATAGTAGAAGACAAAAATCTTCATATTGTTTGAATTTCTGAGATGATGAATTTTCATCATTAATTTTCAATTATTTCTCTTTCATCTTATTTAAGTCAGATAATGTAAAATCAATAACAATAAAAAGAAGTACGCAAAAATGAATAAATGAATAAATAAATCTCAGAAACCCACAAAACTATTTTTGTTTTTGGCTTTATGTAAATTAAGAAACTGAAAGTGAAAATTATTTTAGAAGGTACATATCACATTGTCTTGTGATATTTCATGTCGATTTTGTTTTTGAAACTTTTCTTTTATACAAATGCAAAAGAAATTAATGCAAATGTATATATGTATACTTGGAAATAAATAAAAATGTATGTAACCTAATGATGAAAATGTATTTAATTCACAAAACAAATATTTTTCAAGCACGTTTTTCAAAAGTCATCCTTTTTGTATCAACAGATTTACAGCATGCAATGTAAATATGTTGAATATTCTGAAATAACTGAAAAAAAATCTCTGTGAATTCTGACTCACCGAACACAACGAACGCAGTGAGGTAACCAAGCAAAAGGTAAATCTTGTTTACTCTCAGGCCATATGCCATACTTTTCACGTTCTGGATGAGGAAGGTTTTCAAGGGATTCAGGTAGGAAAGCTGCCCGGACCAAATTTGTAAAGAAGTTGATCACTTCAGATATCATTTGCTATAAGCATAAAAGTTAATGGTCAGGCATAGAACATACTTACAAAGTTCATATAGCAAACAAGACAAATTTTAGCTTTAAAAATATAACAGAGGAATACATGTTTGAGTGAGATGATTACTCGTTTGCAATTAAAATAAAATTCTGTAATCTGCTTCAGTACTTTGTTAACATAATAGGTTGGTGTCAAGATTCCCATTGCTATCTTAGAAGTAACATTAATGTTTGCTTCATTCTATATTACTTGCATGAATATATTTTAACAATTATTCATGGAAAAGTGATAATTTGATTTTGTTTTGGTGAAATCATTGCTGAATATAAAATATACAATCAACATTAGGTGCAAGCATGTGTCAGAAATAGTTTGCAAGAGTTTTATTTTTCCTTTCTTAAAAAAAAAAAGATTTTGATCTCAAGGATAAAGAATATTTTGGAAGAATTTTAAACTTCATAACTTATGAAGTGCAAGCAAGATGTAAATGTAAAAATGCTAAAAAATTAGAAGTGAATTGTTTAAATGCAGTATGTCATTTACGAGGCTTAAGTAAAATTCAGAAGCTTGGAAAATGGGTTACACACAAACCTATTGATGTGAATATCAGTCAAAATTTAAACACTTGTCTGACACACAAAATAGTCAATTTTGGACAAGATAGACATTAGTAAAACAAAACCAATACACACACACACACACACAACAGTAAAAGGATCTAAAATGGAGAAAATCATGTTCTGACCTAGCACAGTTTACAATATCCCAAACTAAACAGAGGAGAAGTTCTTTTCTATGTTTAGTGGAATTCAAAAGGAAATCTTTATAATCCATTACTGGAACTTGGACAAATTGTTATCACAATTTACTTTAGAAAAGAAAAGATTTTTCTCTAAGTAAAGAAGTTGGTTGGTAATTCTTTTTTGTTCACCCTGTACAAGATCCAAGAGACACCCGAGGTAGAAAGTTATAAAGTAAAAAGGTAATGAATATAGTTTATAGGATATGTGGAGAAAATGTTTAACCTTAGACTTGAACAGGTTAAGATTGTAATGATCAGGGGTGGGGGAGGATCCTCTTGGGAGTTGGTTGCACAAAGTAGCAGTTTGTAGAAAGAAGCTATGTGGGTGTTTAATTATTTTCCACCCAACAACCCCTTTCCCACAGATTTCCACCCAACAACCCCTTTCCCACAGATTGCAAGTCTTTCACTACTTATTGCTATTTTCATGAAAAATGTTCAGATGAACTATACACTCTTTAACTCCACCAGTTCTAACCTTCATGGCTAAGAGCTGCCAGCCATATGCACATTGTAGCTAACCACCCTCATTCTGTTTATATTCCATTGAAATCTGTAGGAAAGGGATTGTTGGGTGGAAAATAATTAAACACCCACAAAGCTGTGGAGACTCTTTTGGACTTTTGAGACTGCAAAGTGAAGACTAGGCAGCTCCAGCTCATATATGACAGCAGTATACTCCATTTTTGGCCTGATTTGACTCTTGTAAAGGTAGACAATAACAGGAGTCAGGTACTTATTGAAGTGGTATAGAGAACTGACCATTTTTCCAGCATCTTTACTGATGGATCATATGTGTGAGTTTCACTTGAGGTCTGGGTTGAGCTTAAGTCCCAATAGGTGTTCAAGGCATATGTCCTAACTGAGAGAACATCCATTCAATATGATCGGTGAAAATTCAGGGTCTGCTTGGAAATAATGGAATGTCAGTTTTGGTTTGTTTTTTTTTGGCACTGATGTAACCAGCCAGTTTTTCCCCAACTGAACTGTTAGAGCTAAGTCAGAGGAAAGATCAGCTGCCAGGCTCTGATCATCTAGATTTTTGGAGGTGCACCAATATATCATTGTATCATCAGCATACAAGATATTCACAAAAGATATAAATAGATATTCACAAAAGAGCATATTCATAGGCAGATCATTTATGTGAAGTAGAAAGAGAGTTGAACAAGGAAGTGGACTTTGGGGGACACTCGTGTTCAGAGGACTGACTGTTAACAACTACTTTCAGGGACCTACCCATTAGGAAGGACTTGATAACTGAGAAGAGTCTTCCAGTGATTCCATAGTTGGAGAGCTTTTGCAGATGTCTTATTGTCTAGTGCCTCACTGATTCTGTGAGTAATGACATGTTAGGATATCAGCAGTGGGCCAAGCTGATTGAAATACATACTGCTAGTACTTCCTGAAAACAGGGCATATACCTGATGCCTTCCACAGACTTGGGAAGGATTTCTCTTCAAAGAGCAGTTTTGCTAAGAATGGGATTAACTCAGGGTTAATATTCTTAAGGACAACCACTGGGATTTTTTCTGAACTGGTAGCCTTCTTAGGGTCAAAACTCTTGATAAGTCTTGAGATTTCCTGGACTGTGATAAAACTATTACTAAGATTACTCTGTGAGGGGGAGAAAAATGGAGAGGGGAGGTCCTTTGTTATCTAACGTGGAGCTAGAGGCAAAGATCATAGCAAAAAGCTTTACCTTATCAGACTAGGATGAAATGACCTCAGGGCCATTTATGATAGTAAGCACTGACACTTTATCTCTATTGATAATTTGGTTAGAGATTTTCCAGAACTCCCAGGATCCAAGTTGTTTGCTTTTGATCTTGGCCTGGACTATTTTCTTTTTTCTAGAACTTCTCTAATTGTGGACAGTTTTGAATGTAGCAAGTGTTCTACTACATCATTTCCTGTGATTGATATTGTAGTAGTTGTTATGGTGAACTATGGCTGCAGTACATTCAGGAGTGAACCAGGGCTGGCAATTCAATTTTTGCTAGAATTTTTTCTGGAGTATAAAACTCTCCATTCCAGAAAGGATACTCATCCACATGTTGCAAATATGATGCAGCAAACAAGCATAGAGCTGTGATGAGTACTTCTACTACATAACTTCTTATAGAAAATAGAAATATCTTAACCATGGGTTCAAGATGATCATGATCTTTTAGAGTGCCTCCAGAGTGATAGTTAAAAAAAATATTCTTGTAGATCATTTGTTAAGATACCAAGTTTTATCCAAACTGGGTGTCCCACTGTTGTGGATTAATATAGCATGATGCCATAACAGATGTTAAGAGTATCAACACATATTACCAACAAGTAATTTTATAAAAGAAATCTTTTTTGATAGTCAATGTAATAATAATGTGAAATCAAAATGACACTTTAGATTAGTTCTCTACAAAGAAAAAAGCTCTCTCTCACCTTAAACTGGGAATGTTTGTTGGAATCTATTTTAAATGGCTTGTCTCCAGTCTACAAGAAAACATTTAAAATAACAGATTAATAGTGGGTAATCAAATGGCAAAAATGTAAAACAATCCTAAGTAATATATTTTGGCCTTAAATGGAACTTTCTCTTTCTCTCTCTCTCTATATATAAGCACAACTCCATTGATAAAACTATTATTATTCTGAAGAAGTTTTGACAAAATACATTACTTAGGATTGTTTTATATATATATATATATATATATATATATATATAAAAACACACAACAAACACTGTTTGCAATTTCACATTAAAGACAATATACAGAAAAGGCTTAGATTTAAATTTAAATAATAATCTTAACAAGTCATAATAACTATGATAAATATTAGTATCTGGAGGTATAACCTAGTAATTGGGCATTAAGCTATAATAATCTTAGATTTAAATAGTACATCACTAATGTAGAAAATGAGAATTCTTATTTGTGTTCAGGAACAATGAATGATGTTATCTATAATAGTGCTTAAGAGACAAAAATACTTGCATTGAGATAAACTGAATATTGAATAAATTAAATATTTTGCTACACTTACTTCTTTGTGAAGTAGACTGCCTGCAAAATAAGCATTGCCAAGCTTCCAGAAGTCTGGGAAGTTTTCAGTTACAATATCGTTCAGTTCTTCAATAAATAAAACTTTCTGTGGTGTCTTAAAACGCATTGCTGAATTTAGAAACAAGAAAGAATATCAAATGTTTTCAAAAGCAAGAACAATAAATTAAAATACAAAATTGTTATTACTATTTAAACCGTTATTATATCTTATGATCAGTATGTCTTAATTCAAAATATGAATAAAACAAAAAGAAAAATAATACAAGTTTATTAAATTAAAAATCCAGTCATGATACCAATCAACTTAAATTAAGAAAGTCGTATTTATAAAGATTTGTCATTTCCTTCACTTCAGTTCATATTAATGGAGGACACACTTGGTGGTTTAACATTAAGATCTATTATGTATTCACTGTAAGCTTAATATGTTATTTTGCATACTGGAATGTACATAATTTGATGGTATTTCACTAGTTTATTTCCAACTATCATTGTTTCATAATCTCTTCTTTTATACAACAGATGGATTTTTGTCAGGAAAATAGCTTTTACTTACCTGATTGGTCTTGGCTAGAACTTTGCCCAGATGTTTTGGCTGCAATATGAAAGAGTGTACAACATAAAAAAAGAAAAAACCCATTAAGAAAATGATTTTCTTAAATCTAGACATTTTGAAACCACCAGACATATCAAACTGAGAACATTAGACACTTGGGGAAATTAAAAAAACTAAAACAATGACTTTTATATTTTCTCATTAGATTAAAATATATTAAAAAAAACAAAAAACAAAGCAATTTTGTAAGAAAATGTTTGAGAGAAGAATTAAAACTATTAATAGTATGTATTATTTCTTATTACTCACTGTGCACTGTTTTTATTCCTTGATTAAACCTCTAAAGAATGATAAATAAAAACCTATCAGTATTTTTATTTTTTATTATTTCTCCTTTTTTCATTTCACTATACCTGCTTTATGGTAATAATTTCTTTTCTTTTGCTTGCTCTTAATATGTCCATTTTCATAGTTTTATTAAATTTCCTACCCGCAAAATGATATTTAAAAACTACTTCCATTATACTAACAATAGTGTTTTTAATTTTCAGCTTCTAACACTTTGTTCTCAGTGTGTGTGTTTAAACATTATTCCAATATAACCGTCTTTGGTATTCCTCTTTTTTTTTTCACTATATATATATATATATATATATACACACACACACATATATATACACACACACACACACGTATATTTTGATTGCTATGAAAAGTGAGGAATGGCAACTGGTTATTGTTTTAATTGCATTTCTTGTTTCAATTTACCTGCTTGTTTGTAATTATCCACCCCTTTTTCTTCTTTGTCCTTTGTTCCCCTATTATAGTGCTTTCATTATGTCTGTTTTATTGCCATTAAAACAATAACTGTATAGTTTTCTGAGTGTAGAAAATCAAAAACTCAAAGGTGACAAATTTGAAAACAAGACATTAGAAAATCAGTGCACTCTTCAAGCAAAAAATAAGTGGTGTTACCACACCCATAATTATAAGAGTTGTATAATCATAATGGAATATTAGAATACAACTTATAAAATGCATCCATAACATTATATTTTCACAAATGAGAATAAACAGGGTATATAAATGAAGTACCTAAGTACTTTAAAATTATTCCTGAAATAAGCTATATCAAATAAAATTGATATTATCAGAAGAATTAGTCATATGAAGTTACTTACCTGGAGTGTATCCTGTTTGGCGTGGGGACATTGGACAGTTTTTTCTTTGAATTGGAGAGTCTACTTCCTGCTTTTTATTTTTCCTGCCTGCAACAAAGCAAAAATAAAATGAAAATAACAAATATGGAAAACAAAATGAGAGAAAAAATACCTCTGTTGATTGAATAAAGAGTTCAGTTCAAAATTTAAAGATGGTTATCAAATATGAGAGAAACTTGAACAATACTGGAGTATTCAACATGTGAATGTTGTGAGAATAACAATCAAAATTATTCTACTAGGTCAAATGTAAAGACATCATTCAACTAAAATGGAAAGATAAAATTTAATAAACTACAAGTAAATTTTATTATAGCAAGCTCATTATATTTACTGATACATTACAAACATATGCTAAACATTAAAAGAATTGATTTAATGCATTTTTATGAACACAGCGTTCATGGTTCAATATTTTTCCAACTATTTTCATGGGTAGATTCTGATGCAATCATTCATATACATCAAAAATCTCTTAAAATAATATTTCTTTCTTCATGTATTCATCAATAGTTAATAGCCATTTTAAAAGTGAATCTAGTCTCATCAGCTGGGTAATCAATAATGCTAATTACTGTAAAAAGAAATGATTCATGAGGTAGAGAAAACAAGTACCTTCGGTAATGTGTTCATCTCTACATTGAGACAACATTGTCATAAGCCAATTTTGCTGATTATTTAAGCATTCCCATGCAGGGTCACCTCCAGATTCCAGGTTCACCAGGTACCTGCAAGGAAGAAAAGCATTTCAGATCATTAAGGCCATTTCTCTGAAAACACATGCACAGAAAAAAACAGATGTTTGTTTATATGTGTGTGTGTGTGTGTGTGTGTACATATACACGCGCACATCTACTGATAAAATCAAAGAGGCTTCATTGAAACATTCAAAAATCAATCAAATAACAAGTCACTTTTTGAATTTGTGGAATGGTAAAAAAAGAGACATAGTAGGATCAGGTCCCATAAGAATATGTGAATATTAAGAAATATTTTTGGTGAATGGAATAATGTATAAAATTATATAAAAATTATTAAAGAAACAAAAGACATTTACAAAATATCTTTGTCATTTTATTCATATTGAATTGTTGAATAAAAAATTAATAATAAACCATTGATAAGTTAGAAGTAATTCTTAATTTTTTGGCTCAGCTTGGTGCCTATTGTTTTTCTATAAATAAAAGTTCTTCAGTCTTTGGTAAAAATTTTGCACATTTTACTGATTATTCATTTTTTTTATACCAAATCACTGTAAAAAAGATTTTACAATGATTTGATCTGTCAATGTTCCTAAACAATATTGTTTGCAAATGTCAGAAATGAAGCATACTTTTTCAAAGGCTCTTATTTGTCAAAAAGATAAAAATTTGACAGTTCCAATTTTATTCTGGAGCCTCTTTTTGTGTGACAAAAAAAAAAAGAAAAAAAAAAAAAAAAAAAAAAAAAAAGAAGAAATTCTGCAGGCAAAAATACAGATGTTACAAGCAAAAATGCATGAGTCAAAATTCTCCAGAGGTTTATCAGCTATGATAGACATCTGAAGAAAATCATTAGGGGAATTAGCCGAAATATTATGACAGTCACAACCAAGATGAGGATGTGAGTTTGAACAAATCAGCATATATTACTGCATAATTAATGATAAGTCATTATCTCAAAACTTCAAATGTGTCAGAACTTTTGTTGCTTTTAAGAAACTAATCTATTAAACAGAGGAATCTGTACTTTACAGGATAAGAGAAAAAGAGTAAAACAAGTTACCTGATTAATTTTTTCTGTTCTTCAAGAGAATTTGGTAGTTCCAGGAGTTTCTGGTGCAACATCTTACGAAATGAATGAACACGTTCTTCAACTTCTTTATAAACTGAAAGCAAGACATATATCAAATTTAATAAGTTTGTATTTGAATTAAAATTAACAACTTACAGCCATTAGATTTTTGATTAAAATGAATATATATATATATATATATATGAAACATAGATGAAATTAACATTCAAGTGAGGTTTATTTTAGTGATAGTTTTCCTACAATCTTTGCAACATGAAACTTTTATAAATTTGCAGGGTTCCCACGGATGTGTGGAAAAAAATTCCTGGACTTTTCCAGGACTATATTAAGAAATTTCAAGGACTGAAACTGACATGTGCATGCACACACACAAAATGAATGGTCATCAATTTCAAAAACCCAAAGTTTGTGATTTATCTTTTAATAGCTTGACAGATGAGATACTCAATGAAAAGCTACAGCTGGTTCCAGTAATTCATGTCAAATAGACCAGTTGAAAGCAGTGAAGAAATCAAAGTGTTGAAGGCTAAAACACAACTGAATGCAGACCTGGTTAAGTTATAGATTTTGTGTAACATTCTACACAGTTTGGAGTTCTACTACACTTGAACATTTTGAATTACACACTTTAATTCTTACTGCTACACATTTCAGTTACCAAGACTACTCATGGTTTGTGAATGTCACACAAATTCTTGATTGCTACAAATTTCCTGTGAAGTATAAGGGTTTAATGAAAAACTAGAAATTTTCACAAAAAGACTACACATTTTAGCTACTACTACTACTCATAGCTTTTGTTGCCCATAGCAGAGAACAAGTTCATCTAATTTAGCATTCAGCTCCTCTTCCAATTTTGATATCTCTATGGACATGCAGATCTTCACATGGTATTGGACTTTGTGATAAGTGTGACATTCTGAGTCTTCTTAGCTTTCTCCTCATAACTGTCAGCTGACTTGAGCAAATCTTGAGTGCAACTTTCAAGCTTGTGTCTTTTGGTCTTCAGTTCTTCAATTTCTATAAACATGAATTTTTTGTCCAGCTGCTTCTTCCTGCTTTTTTTTTCTTCTCATCTTTATGGTATTGGCTGTATACTGTTCTGGTATTGGAAGTACTGTAGAGAAGAGCCTTAGTCATGGGAACATTTCCAGCACCTCCATCTGTGGCCAAATAGTCTGTGATAATGTGCTGAGAGAGAGCAGTGTCTGCTGTTTCATATTGTCAGTTTCCTTATTGACTGAGAAACATCTCTCCACTGAGGCCTGTCCATGAGAGAGTACCAGCAATCTGTGAATAACTTTCCACAGATTTTAATATTCTTTGTTGCTAGACAAAGAAGAATTGAACAAAGTTTCCAGATGGTCTTCATGATTGCTGAAATTCTTGAAAGCAATATTTCTAGCAGCCTCTTCCTCAAACTTTTTGTACTGACTGATGATGCCATCACAATCAGACTTTCTGACTTGTTTTCTCTCCATCATATGGGAAAGACATCCTTTTAAACTGTCTTTTGTGGCAGATTTTGTTTTTTTGCAAATGGAAAATCCAGGGTTAAGCCATACAAGTGAAATTACAAGACGGTATCTGTATCTTTCTCAATGGTGGTGACAAACATTGTCTTTGTTGCAATTCTGCATGCAAACAAATCTTTTGTTGCCACATTTCCTTCTTATGAAAAATTTTGCATAGCCCTATCTGCCAGAAATACACACTCAATCTTTGCAGTATCTTTATGCATATTTGGGTTTGGCAGAATTCTTACAAATTCATTTAATTTGGAAAATGTAATTATCTTTTTAATGTGCTCTTCCTTTATAAATCTTAACAGTTTCATAATTGTGCTAAAAAGATCATCTGCAAGGAAAGGAAGCAATGGTTTATCACTCTGATATTTTACCAAAAACAGTTCAATGTCCTTTGAAACAAACACAAATATCTGTAGTTTCATATTTATATATTTTTTAAAAAGCAAAAATAACATGGAGTAAAACTAATAAAAAAAAAAAAATAATGGACATAACTATTAAATCCTATTATAAAAATTATAAATAAATAAACCAAATTTAAAGTATAAGAATCTAAAAAGAATGCTTGATAAAGTACCTTTCTTGAATATAGGCACCTGTGTATCAGCAAAAAGAGATCGAGCTCTCACATAATCGTTGATCACAAGGTTATAATCTCCCTGTCAAATATAAAAAAAAATAGCAAAATCATTCATGATAATTTGCCTAATTTGTTTTATAAAATTAACTATTGAAAGAAATGATATCAGCAGAAAAAAGTGTAGCAGCTATAAATTAGTTTAGTTAAATAAAAGAAATATACTTCTTTTTACATTAATTTCTGGTTTATGAAAATCAGTGCAAAATCTTTTCAACACAAAGTTTCACTATACATTTACTAAACTTAATATCAAAGAAGATTATATTTATAAGAACAATAGAGAGAAAAAGATAACTATATATTCTTTTTATAAACTGGGAATATTACTTTCAGTACAAAGGTAAAAAAATAAATAAATTTTACATGAGCAAAATAAAACAAGAAAAGAAATTTCTTAGCGTCCTGTTCATTCCTTAACATGCTGTTAATTTTATTATGTACAGATTAGAAAGCACAATCTTAACCAACTAAGATGACAAGTCTCTTCAAGGCTTAGTAACTGTGTGTGTGTGTGTGTGTGTGTGTGTGCGTGTGTATATGTATATATATATATATACATACACAAATAGAAATACATACTGACAGAAAAAGTTTGTTACAAGAGGCTTGGATGAATATCCATTTAAACTTTGGGCATGACTTGCAGACTATCTTGTAAAACATTTAGTTTAATTTAATGTAGAGAAAATGTTACTGGTAAAATTTGAATGGCAAAGTCAAGAATATATATTTAATTCATACAACTACTGCAGCAGTTCCTCTTATAAGGCCTCCATCAGGCGATGGTTTTAGTATCCAACCATCATAATCAATAACCCAGTGTATCCCAGCAGTACCTCACAATATGATCAGTCTGTTGATATTCCATCACACTGTGGAAATGCCAGATCCACGTAGATGCAGCCTGATCTTGGATTTCAATCTTAATATATTTCCTCTACAGAGCTAATATATAAATTGCCTATAAGTGGTTTCTGATAATCAGCTTAACTGAAATTATTTTAAGGCATGTGTCCTGTAATGCCTATTTATTTTGTAAAACTTTGCTGTTAGTCTTAGCCATTTTAATATTTTAGAAAGAATTCTTGTAATAGGATTATTAAGATGTTAATTACTACAATTATCATATAAAAAGCTGAAAAGGAAGACAGCTTAAATAAGAACAAAATCAAATCATAATTGTGTGTTTATTACAAACAAGATCTGTCAAGGAACCTGTAATACTCAACAACAATTAAGAAGTCTATTGTTTTCCTTGTTTCTTGACATAATTATTAGATGAATATTGCTTTCTCTAACCAAAATAACAAATGTAAGTTTACATGAAACATCAAATTTACAGAATATTAATATATGTCTGTGTTTATCTTAAAAAAAAAAAGAAAAAAAAAAGAAAGAACAGCTCTCTTGTACTTTGCTATGGTAAAAAGAAGAGAATTGTGGGAAGTAAAATGAAGTTTCATCATCCTCGTTATCTAGAAAGTAGAGAAGGATATTTACTTTTTGTATATTGCGTTCAATATTGAGAGGAAGGTAGAAGAGGAATTTGAATCGTTGTAGAACACTGAGAGCATTTCGGGTAGAATCTGCTTTGTCCTTGCGACCGAGAACTTCTTGGAACAAGCCATCAGCACATGACTTGGCCTCTGGAAAGAATAACAAAGAAAACAATTCCTTGTTAGCAAGATTCATCACGTCAGTTGAGAAGGGATTTTTTTCCAATTTCATAGAAAACTTTATTTAATTAGATTTAATGTTTTCAAAGCAAAATTAACTAACATTTCTGGAAATTAAAATAGCTTTCATGATTGTCTGTAAATCAGACTTATTCATACTATTTTAATATAGAAAATAAAATACAAGAGAAAAGAAAGTAAAACTATTATAAGAAAAGATTGTTTAACATATGATTAATAACAAAATTAAATAAGCAATTTATTTTAAATTGCTACACTATAAATATTTTTTTACATGCAAACAGAAGATAAAAGAAAGTAGACTAGAGAAAATTATTAGTCATTTCCCAAGAACAATCACTAATCAGCACAGATGCAAATTATCTAATTGAACACAAGACCTATCAGTTTATTACGCAGTTTAGATAGCAGACTATAATTGAAAGCTTTCTTCTTGAATTTAAATATAAACATTTTTTTAGAATAAATGGAGTTAACAATAAAAAATAAAGTTTAAATATGTTTTTCTTGAAGTGATCAGAGTAATTTTAAAAATCACTTTATGTAAAGACAATTTTAATGTGTCTTATGTAAAGAAATTTCCCTGATGCCAAAAAGCTGTACTATTAGCAAAACTATGTGTAATCTCCCAAATAGTGAAATTTAAAAAGAAAAGAAAATGAAGACAGTAACTTACGCATCAAGAGTACAGCATAAGAATTCATGCATTCACCTCGAATATCATCATCAACAAACATTCTGTTCATAGCTGCAAAGGAAGTAATAAATTTTCATTGATATTCTGCATATAAAATCATTCTTAAATTTTCTTCAGAATTAACTTAAGGTTTCTGAACCTCAACAGTCATACAGAAAAGCATATAAATTCACAATCTCAATATAGTTTGATATAAACTGTACAAAATCAGACTAAAAATATACTTTAAAAAAATTTCAATTTCTGTTAAAATCTATTTAGTAGTATAATTGATTGTATCAAGTCCACAAGACGTTATCGCTCTTTTTCAATATTTATTAGGGTTTCCTTCCCAATATCTTGTTTGAAGTAGTGTGGAATGTTAGTATCTTGATTATATGTGCTACGCATTTTAGTTGTTGCTGTTATTGAAAGTCTTCAAGTGACATGGTTTCTGCTATTTGGTACAGTTCATTGTTTGTGATTCTGTAAAACCAGTCCACAAGGTTTGAAGAAGGATGATTCTTGTGAAGAACTACAAGTTTCATTCAATGAAAGCCATTTTAAACCATTGATTTGTGAAAGACGTTTTATACAATTGATAGTTTAAATATTTTTGAATGGATTTTTGCCATGCATGGCATCTATATAAAAGTCTCAATCTGACAAGACTATTTAAGAACACAACTCAAGTTTTTAGGTTATTGTTTTGATTTTGTAGTAGTTTAATAGTGTTGGGCAAAAGCATTTCTAGTGCAGCCTATTCTATGTTCAATTTCCTTATCTTCTATACTAAATTTTTTGTAACTAAGGCTATTAGTATTTACTAATTTCACATCTTGAATTTTTATAATGTATTTAGGGTACATGCCATTACTACTTTCATTCTAATTCTAGACAATAGTTTTTTTGGGGAAAAGTTTTACCTTGAGTTCTAATTCTTGGAGTACTTGGTAAAGAATATTGATTTTTTGTTTGAGATAATTCTTATTCCAACTATGAATACCTATGTCATCAGCATAGCCCACATCCCTATCATCTGTATACTGGCCTCTGGAGGAAAAGCAGGAATGCTGTTTCCTGTTAGTAGATTCGTTTGGGATGTGGTATAGAATAGTTAAATGATTAGTGCCCTTCTCTTCATATCTATGCTTCTATATGCAGTGTACAGTCTAGGAACAGATTAAATACATTTGGGCTATCATTTCCTTTGTTGTGCTCCTGATGTTTGAAATGTGTTTTGGTACTGGCCTTCTCACCAAACAAGTATGACTTTGTTAATTGATATAGTTCTTCTATTAGATCTATGACATACAGTGGAGTCAGCGCTTTAAAGACAGTTTCTAATGGATGAGGAGAGTAAGTCTTCATTGATGTGGTCATATGTATGCTGCTGTGAGGTCAACAAAGCAGGTAGACATGAGAACTATCCAGCTTGAAAGTTACAAGTGGAGAGAGTTCTTTCTTTTACCTAGATTCATTAAGTCAGCCACTATTTAAAAATAAATTCAATATTCTGTTTCCAGTAAATAATAGATTATTTTAATCTTAAAACATGCATCAGCAAGTCTAATAAGACCTTAAGTCCTGTGACTCAACCAAGCTTTAAAAAAATCTAATTCAAATTACATAGTCAGAATTAATTTAGTCCTATTTAGAGATCTCTAATATTCTGTAACTAAAGGTGAAAAAGTGTAGATAGCCAAATTGTCAAAAATTCCACACCTGCTAAACTTGACAAGCAATCAATTGTTGAGGACAAATTGGATTTCACAAATGCTATTGGCCCCTCAGATCTTTGTGTGGCTTTCCTCTTCATATGAGCCAAACCAGCTTTTAGGTCATCAAAACTAGAAGCAAAAAAAAAAAAAAAAAAAAAATCATTATTATCTATGTAACAACCAACTTTGTTCTGTTACATTTCAAGTTCTTCATTTATAAGAGAGAGTTGTGGAGATTTGGTGAGAATATTTCCACTGTATGTGAAGCTGAAATATTGATTAGTGATTTTCAATTGAAAAATACCAGTTTCCTAAATGTCATTTTTACTTAGTTGCTCATTTGATCAGAGATAAATGAAGACTTGTTAAAATAAAGTTAAAAAATGAAGCACTTTTTATTTTCACATAGTTTAAGATTGCAAGTAATACTGATTTTTTAATTTTTACTTGTGTGTGTATATGTGATATACACATATACAAACCAGTTTTTAAATGTCTGCATTTCCACATAAAAATGATTCAGTTTGCTTGATAGCATCCATAATAATGTTTAGACATTTCATGCCTCTTCCTGAAAACCTCATCATTGCTCAAAAACTTCATCATGTTCATATGTTCATGGTTATCCTTAGCATTCTTCTGTAGAACCACACCTCTGTTACTTCAAGTCACTTATTTATCTTTGAGAAGATTGTCCAACATTCACTTCTGTAAGGGAGGACAGATATCACATAGCAAGCACTTCAGCACTCTTTTCTTTGTTACCAATGAAACCCTCCTGTCTTGTAATACTCTGCCTAGCTTTTGGAATGAGTCTTTGGCCATCCCAATACGTCTTCAGATTTCTGTCCTCTGTCAGAACACTTCCCAGATATTTAAATTTCTGAACCTGCTTGATTTTAGTGTCCCTAACCTGTAAATTGCATTTCAGGCTCATCTTTTTGCTGATAACCATGCATTCTGCCTTCTTGTAATTTATGCTTCGTTCCTTCTTCTCACTCTCCTTTGCTACATTCTGTAGGTTTTGTAGTTTCCTTTCTGTGTCTGCTATCAGCACTGTGTCATCTGCATATCTTATGTTGTTAAGATTGATTGTTGCCAATGATGAATCCTGGTAGGATTTCCAGTTCTCTCAGAATTGCCTCGCTGTATAGGTTGAATAAGTCCAGTGAGAAGACACATCCTTGCTTTAAGCCTCTTTCTATTTTTGTATATGTACTGAACTGATTTTTTTATCTTTATGCAGGTGGTTTGCTGCCAGTAGAGGTTTTTGATTATTCTAATGTTTTTCTTGAATATGTCAAGGTTGCTGAGCAGCTCTAACAGATCTTTGTGGTGTACTTTGTTGAATGCCTCTGCATAGTCTATAAAACACAAGTGCATGTTCTTCTGCATTTGTATTGCTTTTTCTGATAACATTCCGAGCATGAATATCGCTTTTCTTGTCCTGGTGTCTTTAACGAAAATGCACTGTTCTTGTCCTATCTCTGGCCTGATTCTGCTGCTGCTCTATTCATCAGAATACGGATGATGAGTTTTTTGTTATGTGGCTCATTAGGCTGATTGTTTGGTGGAGTTCACATTCGTTTTTGCACCTGGTTTCTTAGGCAGTGCTATGAAAATAGATCTGCTTAGATCTTCCAGTATATCCCCACTGTTGTAGATTTCATTTATTATTTCTGTAATCTTTTGTCTATGCCAAAATCATTTAAGACTGTCAGCATCTCTGTTACAATTCCATGTGTCTCTTTCGCCTTGTTTCTGTTCAATTTGGTCAGTGCAGCTTCTACTTCAGTTTTTAGAATTTCAGGCTCATCAGTAATTCTGTGTATTGCTGATTGTTCTCTTTCATTGTGGAAGAGTTCTCTAATATATTTGTTCCAGTGCTTAAGAACTTTTTCCTTCCCTAATATGACCATTTCCATCCTTTGATTTTTGGCAGCCTGTTGATGAGCCTGTCTTTTGTCCTGTTAGTTCCCTTATTTCTTTATGCATATCTCCTTTCTTGGTAGTACTCAGTCTATTTCTGCACATTTTTTGTTTAGCCACTCTTCTTTAGTCTGCCTGCATTTGGTCCTTATTTTGTTGTGTAGTTTTCTGTATTCTATTGCATACCTTGGCAAAATTTTCTGTCTCCTTTGCATCATGTCGAAACTCTCATCTGTGATCTATTTGTTTTTTATTCTTTGTCCATTCTACTTTGGGATGATATCGTTTGCTGATGTCACTAAAGCTTCTATTAATATGTCCCATTTCAAGTTTCCATTTGGACCCTTGTATCTTCTTTTCACACTGTCCATATATTTTTCCTTCAGGTTTGTGTCACTCAGGAGTTTGTTGTTTTGCAATTTGGGTGCTGTGTTAGGCTTCTTCAGTTTCCGTAGTTTCACTCTTAGTTTACATATAACAGGGTGATGATCACTTCAGCAGTCAGCACTTGGATAGGTTTTGCAGTGAACCATTGAATTCCTGAATCTTTTGTTGATAGTTATGTAGTCAATTTGATTTTTAGTTTCTTCTCCTGGGCTTCTCCATGTCCATAATTGTCTTCAATGTTCTTGGAACCATGTGTTGGTTATTATCTTGTCATTGGCTGTGCACCATTGGATCAATTTTTCACCAAGTTTGTTCTGGGTTCCTAGTTCAAATTTGCCAGCTATTTCCTCTGCCTACTTTGACATTCAGGGAGATAATTATGACTTCTTGTGATTTGCAATGAACCTTGGCGGAGAAAGATTCGATTTCTTCTTCCTTACTTTGTGCTGTTGGTGCATACAGTATTATGACAGCTATGTTGAAAGGTTTTCCTTTCAGTTTGACTACCAGAATTCTTTCAGATAATTGATAGTATTCCAGAACGCATTTATTGAATTCTTGATCTGGTATAAATTCTACTCCTTTATCCTACTCTCTGCCTGCATATATAATCCTGTGATTGTCTCTGACAAAAACTCCATTGTCTGGCCACCTAGTTCCACATACACCTAAGATGTTGATATTTAGCCTATTCATCTACAGTTTTACATTTTTCAACTCGCCACAGTTGTTCAACATCCTAACATTCCATGACCCAAGAGTTATTTTTTTGTTTGATGTGAGCAGTTGCTAGATGACGGTCTGGTGACACCTGTTGCTCATGTAGCTCCTTTCCAGGCAAGAGGGAGGTTCCAAGGGATTTTATCACTTTTATGCCATATGCAGCTTCACAAACTCTTAAAATACAATTTACATATTATTTTTAAAATGGAAACTTTTTATGCAATCTAATTGTGAAATTCTTTTTAACATGTCCTAAATAATACAAGATTTAAAATTTCATTTATTTTAGCGAAATTTCATAAACAAAACTATAATAGTACATTTTCAATAGAACATTTTAAGAGTCGAAGTTGAGCATTTTAAGAGTTGTAACGAGCTGTCGTAAAGTGTTATTTCAGAATTTAAAAAGGCGTTTTTTTCAGGTTTGCAAGAAAGGCGTTCGTTTTTTGTTTTTATTTTAAAACATTAAGCATTTTTTAAAACTAAACTGACAAAAAAGTAGATGCTACACTATGAGGCAAAATCAAAAAAAGACATTTGCCCTATTGCAGGTTTCTTCTGCAATCATTTTATTCAATTCCATTTACATTTTTGTTATCATTCTTAAAGTGATCATAACAGCCATTCTGAGAATACTGTGTAAAAACTGGATTTGCTTATTAGCTCCAATATCAATATAGCTCAGTTTAATCACTTTATGACTTTAAAGACAAAGTTGTATGGGTGAACAAATGTTGATTCTGAGATATAAGTTAATTCTTCTGTGTAAATTACATTACATCTAAAAGAATTTATTAAAAAGTAGAAATAAAAAGATTTAAATGTCAATTAAGAAAGAAAGCACAAATACTATTAAAGATAAAGTTTTGATTGTATTGTTTGAGATGCAGTAAAAAACAGCAGATAACCTAATACATTATTGTAAACAAAAGAATTTTCATACAACTCAGAATGTTGAAAGAGAAATATGGAAATAGAAAGCAATAATATAAAAATGACAGTTACTCACCTAGTAGAATGATGGTTCTCAAGAAGGTACCAAGCAGGAGAAAAATTTTCTAAAGACATATTACCAGATGCTGGAATTAACAGAAAAAAATACCATTAGTAAGGAGGAGAAACTTTTTGAAGTTTTCTTCTTTTGTAAGTTTAATGATAACTTCACTCTCATCTATTAGTTTATAGAAAGGTTTTGTCAGGAACATAAATTGCTTATAGTAGCTCAGAAAAGAAGCCAAGAAAATTATTTCTATAGAAAAAATGTAAAGCTGAAACAAAAATAAAAAAAGACAAAGTAGAAAGAATGTAGTTAGAAAAACAAAACACAAGCAAAACTTTAGAAAAACGTGAATGTTTTTTTTTCATAAAGAAGCTCCCAAGAGGTTAAATGTCCCAGGCAAGTATCTTTACTCAATCAATAGCACATACCCATAATTTTCATGGAACCAAATTCTGCTATTTCTGTGAGATGGATTTATCTAGCAACAAGAGAAGGCTGGGCGAACAGCAATAAACTGGTTTACCGTCGCATGTAGTTTGAGTGGAAAAAGAGTTTCAAAATACTTGTAGATGAATAATTGCATTGCAGTTTTCACTTTCTGGGGTTTCAGTTACCTAATCAATGGCCTGAAGCACAAGACTAGTAATGTTGGCAATTTAGACACACCAAAGAGAAACTGTAAAGTGTTTCTTTTAAGTGGAGAGCTGAAAGTTCACAAATTAATGAAAAATAAATTAATAATCACATGCTGAGATTGTTGGTAAGATTTAAAATAAGAACTAATCTACATATCACACAACACTTTTATTACAGTATGTTGTTAGAATTCTTCTATTATTCCTTTTGATTACTTAAGCATAATTTATTAATTCAACTTATGTATGTACAAGAAAAAAAACACAATATATAGGGTTTAGTATTATCAATGGCTTCAGGCATCTACTAGTGCTCTTGGAACATGGATAAAGGTGGAGACTATTGTAAGGCTATATGCGTGTGTGTGTGTGTTTATGTGGTTGATGAGAAAAATAAAAATAAAATTTACTGCTTGGCACAGGGAGTGAGTTCACAACCTTCAATCAACCAGCTAGAGACTTTAGCTTTTAATGGTGATGTTACCCCTATTGACTAGGGGTAACATCACCTAGTGGAGCTCTATAAAAGCCAATGCTTTTTCTCTCTAGTAATTTTTTGGTCTGTTACCTGGAGAACTTTTGTCACTCAGGATTAACGCCACTTGGATTTTTGCCAGTTGCTCGATTGCTGAGAGTGGAAAGTGGAAGAGAAGAGTGGAAGTCAAAACGAACAAAGATTATCACTTAATTTAAATTACAGTTTATGGTATTACTGGAAGCTTTTTTCATTGTACTTTCATATATACAATTATTCCATAGTTCTTGAATTTTAATTTTTTTACTGAAATATTTGATAAATGTAACAGAAACAATAAAACAAATTACTATATTGTATTAGTTTTAATGATAGAAATCATAATCGTAGTTACATTTGTTATGTTTTCTATCAGGGGAGATGTACAATAAAGGAAAATAATGATCATTTTTTCACTTTATTTTAAGAAAAAAATTATGTGGCTACTGAAAAATGCTGTTTTTTTTTTTCTTCCTCTTATTGGTACAACCCAAGTAATATAAAAAAAATAGTCACTTATGCCAACAAACCATTAACATTTTAATCATTATTTGAGACATTAATATTGAATGATTAATTTGTATCAGATATATTGCATATAACCTGAACATGTGATTATAGACTTTTCCATAACATTTGATTCTTCCAGCAACTGAAATGGTCTGCATTCTGAAGAGAAAGGTATTTAATTTTATAATTTGAAATGATTATACTATCTTATCAATAAGAACACCAAATTACATATCTTACTGTTCTTTCTTTTTATTATAATATATTATAATAAAAAGAAAGAACAGTAAGATATGTAATTTGGTGTTCTTATTGATATTTTTATTTTTACAAAACAGTGCTCAATGTAAATTTACAGAACATAAATATTATAAATTAACTGATTTTATATATATATATATATATATATATATATATATATATATATATATAATGTGTGTGTGTATTTAGGAAGCAAATTCTCTAGTAGGCATGTCTGATTAAATAAATTAAAAATATTATGTCTTCTTATTTTTAGCATAATCCTTTCATATTTTTCTGTGTATTACAATCAAATGATGCAAGAAATGCACAGTGAAAATTAGTTTTATTTCCCAAGTACTTTCCATCTCTTTCTGAGATTATCATCATTTATCAAAAATATCAACACACGTCAAATAGAACATGATACTTCCTTAAAGGACCCTAAATATATCAAACTCTTATATTGTAGCCAGATATATGCTAACTACAAACAGGATGAGAAAATCATGAAAAAACTGATTTGTATCAATATATCTCCCATGGATCCCAATAAAAAAATAAAATTAATCATATATTATACAAAATACAATGCAACCAATTTAATTATTTGCAATAACTCCTCCCCACCAACTGATGTATTACATAAAACCAGCATAATATATCAATTCAAATGTCCCTTGGGAGAATGCATCTCCAACTGAAAAACAAATATATATGTTGGATATACGACAATACATTATCAAGACATCTTACTCTACACATGTCTAACCATTCGTCCATTGTGAGACATTTATACCAACATTCCTGATTGTTAACACAACTACCCTACACAAAGAAAATAACAGATTAAAACTACAGATCCTCAAAGTAACCTACATTAAAAAATTGTAGCTGACTCTGAATAGAATCAATTATGAATACTGTAATAATGGTCTAAAATGCCTATAAAAAGAACAGTTTTTCCACTTTAATGTGTGCTTGATCATGACATTCCAACATAAAGGAAAAAATTTCATAATGGATAATTTTTTCACGTTCTAATGAATGCTAAAGCATAACTGTCAGCTGTTGCATTTAAACGCAAAAAGAATAAAAACATAATGGATAGCTATACATAGTTTTTGCTTTACAAGTTGCACCCTGATGATGACCTTAAGAAAAATGGAAAGTACTTGGGAAATAAAACTGATTTTCGGTTACAGTGCATTTCTTGCATCATTTGATTGTAATACACAGAAAAAAATATTTGTGAATATGAAAGGATTATGCTAAAAATAAGCAGATATAATGTTTATAATTTATTTAATCATATATATATATATATATATATATATATATATATATATATATATACACACATACCGTGGGAGGAAACAGATATTCATACACATACAAATTTTTAATTTATTGTATTTCCAACTAATGAATAAACATACTTTTCATATAATTAACTATACACAAATGCATAATAACTAAATATGCATAGAAAAACAGAAAAAAATTGATTTAATAGAAATAAATCCCATATTAGCCCAATTATTTTGTTTCTTGTTAAGCAAAATAAAACATTTCACAATCATTTTAATTTTCTGTTTTGTCTCTTCCATTACAGTGCCTACCAAACCAATTCTTCCAATATTAAATTTAACAGATAACTTTGAAACTTTTCCTCCTTTACAATCAGATGCCTTTCTTTGCTTGATGGCAAGAAAAGCTTTTGTTAAATCTAAATTACTCCATTTAAAACCTGATTTCCCTAAATCCATGAATTCACACTCATCACTTTTCTTAATCCAACTATTTAAAAACAATGGCAAAACCCATATCTTTTCTTTTTTTTAATAAACAGTTTTCTCTATCCATTTATTGGTATTTTTTTTCCAAAGTAATCACTTCATTACAATATTATATAAAAAATACATTGATCGGTGATATTTGCAACATTCTTAGCTATGGCTTTAATGACACAGTTCTACTCCCATTAGACTAGTATGTGGCTTGAAAGTAGTACCTCTCGTTCCATCTACCCATCTACTTAGTACCTTAAATCTAAAAGCAGTACATAAGTTCTCCTCTTCCACAAGGTGTGTCTCTAATAACACATTGTTCAGTATTACAGACTTTTGCAAATGTGGCCAACATCTCAGTTCTGATCTTCCTCCATATGACCACATATCTATTGACCATCCAAAGATACATTCCTTCCCTGTAGTGAATCCCATCAATTATCAGTCATTCTTTACACAGACCTCTCTCTCCTTATGGAGTTAACAGGCTGGTATCTGTCACAGTACTTTACAACATTCCAGGTGACATGGGTGTCCACTTTTCTGGCCAATGTTATGTCAACTCTTCCATAGAACATACCAAGCAATTCTTTCAGCTCTAACCACACAAAAACAACTTATGGTTGTCACTTTTCTTCTGAGATCTTCCAGTACCCTAAACCAAACTTTCTTCACCCTAGTTTGTCTTATTTTTACTGAAGGCACCAAACCTACTTGCAGTTTCAACTTATATTCTTGGATGCTTATATTCTCGAGATGACATTTGAATTGCAATTCTATGGCTATTTTTATTTCACCCCACCATCTTTTTTTTTAATCTAATGGTTATTGAGTTCATTCATGTGAATACAGTAACTGAATCAATTTTTATTTCAATATCTTGCAGCACCTACTTCAGTGTTCTGGTTCTTTCATTACAGCATACAGTTCAGCTACATTAATATAACTGTCTTTTTTTCTTGTGTCAGGCTGAACCCTCTGCCTCACCATCACTCAATTCCAAAACAATGTCAGTTGCCAAACTACAAGCATCATACCATACAATCCCATTCTCAGTTTTAGATATGTATCACTTTGCTGTAACAGGGTCTTTCCATTCCATCTCTTTTACAACATAGCAATCATCCCTTCCCCCACCTTATTCTCCTAGTTTACTTCATCTACTCTTGATATAATTACATACTATCATATAGGAAGAAAATGGTAGCTGCTGACATCAACGTTCAAGCATGACACTCTGGTCTTATGAATATATTTTCCGACAGGTGTATAAATAGCAGTGTCATGCTACTTACTGGAGCACTATGAGTTGACTATTGATTGATTATGTGTTGGTTATGAATGGATTACTAGTTGATTACCAGTTGAGTGTTGAGTGATTATTGAGTGACTCTTGGATGTTACACTAAAAATAACTCTCTTCTATTCATTTTGTGGAACTTCATTTCTCCACTGAAAGTTCTCATAACTTGTCTTTTCTTTTAGTTCAAGTACTATCACAGCATCCCCATCCAGTGTATTTACAGTTAACTCAAAACATTTTAGGTAATTTGCAACATCCAGTGTTACCATTGTGTCATTTACTAGTCTCCTATTGTTCTGGTGAGGATATTTGGTAAATGTAGCAGAGTTATAAAAATGTAATCTGGGAAACCAGTCACAATTACTAGTTTTATTATCCTCTCCAATTTTTCTCCCATAAATCCTACTATTCCCACAAGTCTCCTGATCTTATTTGAATATGCATTTACTTGATCCACCTGATTCTCCAAAACTTGTTGTATGCCACTAAAGCTCCTTTACTGAAGACCTTTTTTAATAATAGCTTCAAATTTCCCTGCATTTGTATGGTCTCCAGTGCTCATTTTGAAATAGAGCATCAATGCATCCCTTTCTAAATGAAACTTGTGACGTCAGAAATATCTTGCAGGTTTAAAAAAATATTAAAAACTGAAGTTAATAGCAACATTAACTTAACTTTTTTGTTTTAAAATTTTTACTCATTCGATCACATTATCCTCAATGCTAAACAGTTCAACCATATCTTTTTTTGTCTATATGTGAAAATAGCTTACATGCACAGCTTATTTATTGTTGCTTTTGATAAAACCCAGCAACTATTCAAATTAACCAACACCTTATATACTCAAGAAAAACTAATCGCAGCAAGAAACTACTCTTAGGATTATGTTTCCTTAACCCTTCCCCCATTTTCACCCCCTCCCGCACAAATTCTAGCAACCCAATCACATTTTCTGAATATATCAGCTTATTTACAATACAAAAACAATAGAAAGAGTTCAAGAAACAAAGAAAATATAAAACATACAAACACAGATCTTACCTTCTGGAAATAATTCCAGTAATTCATCTTCTTTAAATTTTTTTCTGAAAATTCAGAAAGTGAATGTATAAATTTATATCTACAATCTTTTAAAGAACTTTATTAAAAATTGTGACTACATAAAATACTAACATTTGGAATTATGTACAGAAGAATACAGTTAAATAAATGCATATATTTTATAACGTGTTCTAGAACTTGGCAAAGCCCTCACAGCCATTTATGCATCTTAATTTTGTCTATGTTGGTAATGCAAATTATTAAAAACAGTGAGATTTTTTTTTTTTTTCAATTGGTATGATTAGATTGTTTATTCTATCTCAATGTTTTTTTTTTTTTGAATGTCAGTGACTATTTTTAACTTCTGGTTAATCATGTGATCATCCTTGACAACTAAATAAGAACAAATGTAAAGTGAAAACATTTGTAATTTTGTAATATTTTGCCTTAAAAATGTCAAATTCTACTCCATCTTGTAAAAAGAGAAAATTATCTGAAGAAGGACGTGTGTTTCAAGAAAAGTGGGAATTACAGTACTTTTGTACCACTGTTAATGGAAAGATAAACTGTTTGATTTGCAACCACTGCATTGTGATGCCAAAAGAATATAATGTGAAAAGACATTATGAAACAAACCATTGATCTTATGATAAATATGAAGGAGATATGCGTGTTTCAAAAGTGAAGGAATTCAAGGTTAAGTTAACACAGCAACAGAGTTGCTTTACAAAAATTCAGAAAGGCAACATTAGCTCTGTTACTGCAAGCTTTGAGCTCTGCAAAATGATCGCCATGAGTGGAAAATCTTACAGTGAAGGAGATTTCATAAAGCAATGTCTTGAAATTGTATATCCAGAGAAGTCACACTTATTTCAAGACATTTCATTAAGCAGGAACATTGTTGCTGAATGGATTGATGAAATGGCAGGTGATTTGAGTTGACAGTTGAAGACTTTATCATCAAGTTTTGAACATTTTTTTCTATTGCTCTCGATGAGACTGTTGACATAGCTGGAATAGCACAGCTGCTGTTTTTTCATCAGGGCTTGTGACAATGAATTTCAAATTTATGAAGAACTAATTGAACTGGTCCCAATGCATGATACTACAACAAGCCAGGACATTTTTGAGAAAGTTGAACAGCTTCTCCATGAGTATGGCCTTGATTTGAGTAAACTTGTGTGTTTATCTACTGATGGTGCTGCCAATATGGTTGGGAGACATAATGGTGTTGCTGCCAAGTTAGGTACAAAAATAGAAAACATATATCCAGATTCAACATTCAAGCATTTTCACTGTATAATTCATCAACAGAACTTATGTTCTAAGATTTTAAAATTAGATCATGTGTTGAGTTTTGTCATAAAAACAGTGAACTATATCAGAGGTCGTGCTCTGCATCACTGTCAGTTTAGCCAGTTATTGGAAGACGTGAATAATCAGTTCACAAATGTCCCATTCTACACAGAAGTTTGGTGGCTTTCATGTCACAAGGTACTGAAAAGATTTTTTTTTTTATTGTGACATGAAATTGTTATGTTTTTGGAGATGAAGGGTCAAAGCACAGATGAATTGAAAGATGAAAGCTGGCTCCAAGATCTAGCTTTTTCAGTGGATATTACTGCCCAATTAAGTGACCTTAATTTGAAATTACAAGGTAAAAATAAGCTCATCACTCAGTTATATGATGATATCAAGTGTTTCATTGCAAAATTAGCTTTATTGAAGTCCCAGTTGTCACATGAAAACTTGATTCATTTTCCTATGTGCAAGGAGTTGAAAAAAACTGCCAATACTGAGTCTGTATTTATCTTTGTATGACAGTTACCTGGAATTGCTGTCAAAGGAATTTCAGCAAAGATTTTGTGATTTTTTTCATCTTGTGAAGATCAGTTTGCATTATTCTCAGCACCATTCACTTTTGATGTTGCTCAGGCAGAGGAAAGTCTACAGATGGAACTACTGGAAATGCAGACTGACTCAACACTCAAGGAAAGTAAATAGAAGTAGGGGTACCAGAGTTTTTTTCATACCTTCCTCAGACATTTAAGAACTTCAGAAAGTTTGCCACAAAGATTATGGCAATGTTTGGTTCCACATATGTCTGTGAGCAGTTATTTTCATTTATGAAGGCCACAAAAATGTCTCACAGAACCAGATTAACTGATGAACATTTGTCATCTTTGATCAAAGTGGGATCTACACAGACATTCCAACCTGATATATTGAGAATAGTTTGTCTAAAGTGATGTCAATCATCAGGACAACATAAAAATGATTAAATTGTACTACCTTGTATTGTAAGTATTTTGTATTTAAAGTTTAGTTACCACTAGCTGTGATTAATGTATTTATCAATCAGATAAATGATATTCAACTGATCTGATAATAAAAATGTATTTCCATCTGATATTGAAACCATGCAAGATTTAAACAATCAACATTTACTTAAGTTGTGACAGAGAAAGTTAGGATAATATAAATACAAAGTGAATGCAAATAGACTTTATCATTGTGTCTGTACATTTTTGAAGATCTTGCCTATAATTTTATACTGGGCTTGCAGAATTTATATTTACTTACTGAGTTCCTTCATCAGAAAGTCCAAGAGGATCTTCATCGTCTTTTATCAACATTGGAGAGGATGCTCTTCCTCGGCCTAAATTGGACATGACAGTCTGTGACTCATCAATCCAAATAGCCGATTCCTGCAGAGGACCTAATCAAGTCAGACAAGAAGATTTAAATAATCAGACTAAAATTTTAAAAAGAAAATTTTTACATTTTTCAGTCTAAGTAAAACAATAATACTGTTTAATAACAATAGAAAATTTAAAATGAGATCATTCAAATTCAAATAAAGTAATAGCTAAAATTTATCAAGCTTTGGTATTTTAAAAACATGAGCACAAACTCTTTATATAAAAAAGTAAAAATACAAAACAGAAAATCCCCAACTGTAGGAACATTTTAAAATATGATAAAAATAGTAAATGATAAAAATTAGTGAATTTAAATTCAACCAAGTCTAATGCATTATCATCATTTGGAATGTGTATTAAAATTAGTTTCTGAAAATGCCTGATTTATTGTTTAAAATATGTACTTCTTTCTTTACTTTAAATCTGAACTGTGTTATAGACCATGAATTATTTTATATTATTTGATTTTAATTTCATAACAGAAACCATTTAACTTTTTCAAAATTAAGTAGGAATACTGTAAAAGCTGAATGTATAAATTAATTAGAAATAAGAAAAAAGACAATCAAAAATTTTAATTAAATAATAGGAGTTATTAAAAAGAATAACACAATATAAATTTAATTTTCGCTAAGAATGTTTATGCAATATCATGATTATTTAGTAACTTCTAAAGATGAGAATGTAGTTTTGCTGAGCTTAAAGAAAGACGTTCTATGTTGTTGTAGGGTTCATATACTTTTGATACGAGGTGTGGATGATTTATAGTAAATATTTATGAGAACATTTGTCCCTCAAACAATATTGGCAGACTCATATGAGTCCGGGTAAAAATAAGTAAAAGACTTGGAATTTAAAAAAAAAAAAAAAAAGAAAAGGAAATCCCTGTTATTAACAAAAGGAATTACATGTGTACACAAATCAAAGGAAAAGGCATTAAAACTTGCTATAAGAATGTGCTAGGTTTACATGTGTATGATACGTGTGTATATATGTGTGTGTGTGTGAGAGAGTGCAGTCAATAGAAGCAAATGTGCCCTCGTCAGAAGTGTTCTTTATCTACATTCGACTGCATCTGGAAACAAGAAGAAAAAGAGAAAGAGAGAGAATATGCTTGTCTTTTTGTAGACTTAAAATGCTCACCATATTGAGTGTTTATGGTAAAGCCAAGTTGGGTAACCCACAATGTCTATATTACAGGACCAACGTAGATAGATCCATATGTCTAAAACAACAGCTGTCAATTCACAGGAAAATGCTGAAAATTTTGAGCTGATAATTACTTGAATGAAGATTTTAGTGTCTATGCCAAGACTGGAAATGATATGACCCCCCCCCCCGACCAAAAAAAAAACTGTCTCCTTTCCTTGAGTTAGAAGATTCACAGCTGATATAGCTAATGTTATAACTAATGTTATTGTCCTTTTCATTGCTACACACCTGTAGAGCATTTTCTGGTTGAAAATCTTTAAACAGTTGTAGTTATTAAAGTCAATTGGAAGGGATTCAACTTATTCAGTAAACCTGCCATTAATAAACCTTCTTATTGTTGACTTACCTTTTTTTTATTGTTTGTATACAACATCCCCGTACTGCATGGACATCCTAGCTTTATTAACTGATTTGTGTGGGTATTGATACCTGAATATGGGGATAGGGTTCAGGGACAAGGTGCAAGCAACCAAATGACCCAGGAATGTACTGATATATCTGTCACCAACACTAAAAGCTTAAATTTTAATGGACCAATTTTTACAGAATGATTTGAACCAGTCTTATAGTTTTGAAATGTGAAATGAAATTAACAGATTCCAGTAACCAAGTTTTCCTTATTTATTACTCCATTTTTAACATTCCACTGTCATATTCTATGTTAGAAATAAGTCTTATAAAAAGTTAAAACATTAATACTGGAGAAGAGAAGTGGGTACTGAAAAATTCTTTGCTTGTCTCACTTCCCAAAATAAATCTTATAAAAACTTAAAACATTAATACAGAGAAGGTGGTGGTGAAAATTATTTGGCTGTCTCACTTAACAAAATCTGACCAAATAAACCAAATATTAGAATATTTTTTAATCCTTTCTTGGTCAAAAACTTTTCAGGGCATGCTCATAAGAATTCTTAAAATTTAACAAGATTTATTATAAGATTATCATCAGCATTAAGATTTTACCATTACTACTGTCATTTTGACTAATGTAAATCAATAATTTCCCTGAGAACCTTTTGACTCCTGAGCATATGGTGTGCTAATCCACTAAACCATTCTTGATAAATCTTGTTGATCTGGCAAGGAAATTATTCTTCTTGACGCTTTGCATATAAAAAGACCCCTTGAATAATGGGGACACACTTATCTGATCACTCAGGATTCCATAGACTAAACATAAAACTAAAATAGCTGATTTTTTAGTTGTTCAATAATTTCTAATACACTAAACATTTTCTAGTTAAAATATAATTGAATGTAATAATTTCTCACAGACAAATAAATTGGCCAATCAATGGTGTCATATTAAGTGGTTCTTTTCAAAAGCAGAAACCAGAAAAAAAAAAAAAAAAAAAAAAAAAAAGAAAGAAAAGAAAAAAATGTTAATAATTTTAGCATTACCAATTTGGATGAAGTATCCACGGAATCCAACTGTGGAACTACCCACACCACCTGTGCCTGTTGTTACAATAATGTCCCCTTTGCCTTTGCCAGGGCCAGTACGAGCAATAATCTTGCTGGATGTCTTCCATTCTGCTGAGAGCAAACAATTCACACCACATATTTTAAGACCTAGAAAATAAAAATAAAGATAAGAAATTAAAGAATTTTAAATTCAAGATATTTTTTAATCTTGTTAATGTAATGGTGTTTAGAAAACTAGAAAGAGAAATTGGTGAGCTGAGTTTGCTATGTGCATTTTGCACAAATACCCTTGATGAAGCTATCTCTTCCACTCCCCCACCTATGGATTAAATAGCAGGGCTGACTACACCCTCTTGCCTTGAACATGGCTAGCAGTTCATGAAAAGGAAAACTGAATTAAAACTACAGCCTGAACAGGGATGGACTCCATCAGGCAATCTTGCACAGACCACTGCTGTTATGGCTGGAGAATATAGGGTGCTCCAACAATCCTAATGAGTTATAAAACTCAAGAAGACTTTGTTCAATATACTGATATTATAAATAGGATGTTAGTCACAAAGAAATATTAAAAAAATAGTAAATCAAATATCATATAAACTAACAAATATGTTACATTTGATGTTAATTCTAACACCTTCATTCATTCATTGTACTTTGTTAATTTACCACTCAAAACTTTCTTGCCATTAACTCAGTCTTAGCAATTAAAATCAGAAATGTAAAAACTAAACTATAGGGAAAAGAAATAATGATCTATGAATAATAATAAAAATCTCACCAATCAGATCTTTAGGATCTTTACCAAGGTTTTCACCTCTGATTGTGATCCTTGTTCCAGGAGGACCTTCTTTTGGAGAGACTCCAGTTACCAATGGGGGGCTTGGCATGATTTGGACACTTAATCAGCACCTGAACAGGAATAAATTGAAGAAGGAAATGAGAAAAAGAAATTTTTCACATGTAAAGGTTACAACTAGCTTATCCTTTGGAAATCATGTATTGTTAATCCAAAATGAAAACATTCAGTTGCGATTTAGTTCAATATTAGGGTCAAGTTTAATTATACACAGTTTAAAAAATATGAGGCTAATTAGTATTTTCTCATAATATTACAGGATGCAAAGTAGTAATTATGCAGAATAATCCTTTCTTATAGTAATGAAATTTTAATAAATTTAATATTTTATCTCTTTTGAGTTATTTTAAACAGGGGCTGAGAGCTAACAGATCTAAATTCTTCTGTTTAATTTTTGAGACATAATGTCTTCGGTACAATGGGTTATAGATAATTAAATAAAAAGATTGTTGCACTGTGTTGCCATAACAGAAAATTTTGCACTTTTAACAAATATTATGTTTATGTTATGTTATGTTTTTACTTTTAAGTGTGGTCTGTCCGGAAAGTATACAGCTATTTTGAATATCTTGTGAAACAGTTTCATGGCTTTGGAAACCAATTAAGAAACCTATGAACAAATACTTTCCTATAGATTTACTGTTGGCAATGAAAAGAGTGATCTTGTGTACATTGAGTGAGTGACTCTTGCTTAGAACTTGGACATTTGTCTGTGGAAAACTACTCAGATGCTTAAGAGGACTTTTATGTATAATTCAATGAGCAAAGCCCTGATAAAATTCTGGCATTTCAAACTTGGTCAAGAATCTGCTGAAGGCAGTCTACATTCTGAAAGGCCTTCAACAAACAGAAAACTTGAAGATGTTGAATGTGTACAAGCTGCAATTGAAGGAAAATTGACAATGCAATAATTAAGAAGTTTGAGTATTCCATGGAGTGTTTGGAAAGTATTCAGCTATTTTGAATGCTGCTCATGCCTTTTATAGCATCTTGACAAAACATAACATTTGCCACTGGTATTCCCCCAAAGTTAAGAAAAATGACAAAAAAAAAAAAAAAAAAATTGATTTTCAAACTAGAGAGGAGATTTATAAGTATTCAATATGGCAGCTAATCCCTAAATTTTTGAAAAGTGAAAATGATACTGGAATAAATGTATGAGGTACAAAGGAGAATACCTTGAAGAAAACAAAGGCACTATTGTCCTATGTAAGCTACTTTTGTAGCTGTTTACACTATTTACATTGTTCAGACAGTTGTCCTCATCTTTATTGCCACATTCATGATGTTTCAGCCATTGTTTCTCCAGCCTTCTTCAGGTGATATTTGTTGGAATTTTGAACCAAACCCTTTATTTAGTCCACGGGGGTAGATTGTTCTAATTCCATGTGCCATGTCTTTGGATATCTCAGTTTTAGTTAATTCCCCTTGATAACTCAACTGTGCAAGTTTTTGTCCTCTCTGCTGTGGATTGAACTCACAATTATTTGGGTTAAGTCACTTTTGGATCAATCAACCAAAGACACATGGTCCAGTGAATAAAAGCATTGTTTGATTGATCTAAAAGACAGTTGGATGAAAAATGTGCAACAAAAGTAACATTTTTAAAAAGATATTTAAATACATCAGTGAGAAAATATAAAATTCAATCCAAATTATGTTTCATAGTACAAATGAATAGGTTGATAAAAACAACAAACTTTCAAATGCTTTAAGTTAAAACTGACAGTATATCACATATATTGACAAATACAATCTTTTTTAATTTACATTTGATGTGTCACAATGGTACCTCCTGAATACAATAAAAAAATTAAACAAATTATAAATGGTAGAAATTGAAATCTTTTTTCTTGAAAACACAATGCTTATTGTAGTCATGTTCACCTCAAATCAATTAGGACAAGATAATTAAACCTGCTTCATAAAAATAATGTAATAGGATTTTTTGAAATAACAAGATCAATAATAACAGTTAATGTTTAGAAAAAAAAAACCCTTTGACAAACCAATGTTGTTTATGCATCACTGAAACATTTTAATAACAATAAAAAAACAATGTTAAGAGTTATGTTTGATGGATTTGATTGGATTATATTTAAGGCCATTAAAGAAACTTAAAAAACATTTACTTATCTGAAAAAACAAATAAACAACATAAGACATTGTGATTGATTTTATCTGTTGATCAAATATGTATTACCTGTAAGCATATTTTTAGACTTATATATGATTTCTTTAACATAAGCAATGTTTATTCTATCAAGAGAAACATCTGTAGACTTTAAAAAGTAAATATAAACAATAATATAAGATTTAACAACATTTTTATAGTAATAAAATTTGATAACATTTTTTTAAAAAAGTACATATTTTATATTGAAACTAAATTTACATTTCAGCAGTTTCTTTGTTATACAATTTTTATGCAGACTTTTTTGCCTCTAGCAGTGGCCATATGCAAGTTAATCAAAATGGCATATAATAGAACCAAAGTCATGACAGAAAGTTGTCCTTTAATTCATTTCTCAATAAGATATTTTATATATTTCAACAAATATATAACAGATCAACTTTGTGACATCACAGCCAAATTACAATATCATATACAGACACAATTAGTTTAACATTAAAAAAAATCATAAAACCTCAAAGTTAGAGATGTTAACAATAAATACAGTAATATAGAACATGACATGTGCAAAAAAGAAAACCATCAGACAAATTATCCAGTTATAAAAAAAGAAAATTAAAAGACCACTTTATTCTTTTCAATTTGTTTTGCAAAATACAAGTTTTCATGAATTATTTTTCTTAACGAGTACAAAAGCTACATTCATAAATGCTGCTCTCTTTTAGCATACAATCAAGTCAATGTTCACTTTACCCTTATATAGACAAGAAATGTGTGAGGCTGAACTATAATCGAGGTGTGCTCTTCTGATAAAAATAAAACCCTTTGTTAATATTTTAAATACTGGTAAGAAATAATTATAAATAAAAATCTCTCTTCATAAATTTGAAGAATTCAAATCCCATAAAAATTTCTTTAAAATATAGAAAAAATTATCAATTTCTAGAATACAGGACCAGTTATGAAATGTGAACTAAAAAGATGTATATTGAACCTTATTGTGAATTTGTTTTTTTATCAATTTTATCACAGTGACATTGGGAGAGGAGCATTTATAATAATATTTGGAAATGAGTTAACTTGGTCAGTTCAATAGAATATTTGATGACTGACCTACAAATTTGGTTGGGCTCAACTTATAATGATATCTATTCATTAAAAACAATATGGATATAGAGAAATGATTATGTTGATAATAACAATAAACACAACCATCACCAACAACCTCCTCTTAAGAACATGTTACATTGTATGAGGAGTTATTTTATAATAAAGAAGACACATTCAGTATTTATAAAAAATCATCATAATTTACCTCAAAGTGGATGTATGTTGACCATTTTTCCAGCAAATGTCAATTTATCAAATGTTTATGTATTTTTATTATTTTGCTTATTATCCGAGTTTAATAATTTTTTTGTGCTAATTTATACTGAATCAATGAAATAAAGGGAGAAAGTATTACTTTCTCATGAAGATTTTCATTAATTAAAACAGTATAAAGTATTATAACTTGAAGTATGATTTTATATTTAAAGACCATATCTGCAAGAATCATTTCCATTTTTCCTTTCCAATTCTATTCAGAGAAATTAAATAAAATCTTGTATATTAGCCTTCTACCTCTTTTTGGCAAAGTACTAGGAGTTCTAATCAAATTTGAATTGGTTAAATATCTCACCTTTCAAATAAGCAATATGGTTTTTGCTTCTCTAGGTCAACTGATGATGTATTAACACTTGTTGCTAAAAGAGTCTATCAAGTTTTAGATAAGAAATATAAAGCTGTTGCTTTAGATATCTTGAAGGCATTTGACTGGTCTTTTTCACAAGTTGAAAGTTTATGGTATTTCTGCACAAATTTTTAACTGATTCAATCTATCTTATCAAATCGTGAAATAAAAGTTGTCTTGAATGGCCACTCTTCTAGATATTTTTGTATTAATACAGGTGGCCCCCAGGGCTCTATTCTTGGACTTATGTTGCTCCTAATTTTCATCAATGACCTTCCTGATGTTATCAGTTCTCAACTTGATATCTATACTGATGACACAACTATTTACTTATGTCTTAATAGTAAATCTGATTGATTCAATAAGGTCCAATTGGCAGTTGATCTCAAATCTGTTGTTAATTAGGGCAAGGAATGGTTTGTTAATTTTAATATGTCCAAAATGAAACTGCTCTCTTTTAATTGTTTGAGAGAACCCTTTTTAACTTTGATCAGCATGGCTGATTCTAACCTCCAGGAGAGTGACTCATTGTGCCCTCTCGAGCTAACATTTTCTGCTGACATGAAGTGGAATAAATATTATATTGAATTGATTGCTAGGTCTGCTGCTAAGAAAGTTGGTTTACTGTCATGCTAGGCAATTTTTTCTCTCCAGAATCTATCTTGTATATTTATGAGTTTACTATTTGTCCATGCATTGAATATTGCTGCCACATCTGGTCTGTTGCTGCTACTATATGTTTTGAGATTCATAATAAAATACTAATCATCTGCAATGTTACTATCCCTGACCTGCCATCTCTGCTTCAGTCACTTTCTTGTCAATATAAAGAAGGTTCTCTGTGCCTTTTCTATAAATATTTTCATAGTAATTGTTTGAATGAACTTTTTTCTATGGTACCTAGACTTTATGAATTTAAGTGTAGTACTAGATTGGTGGCAAGCTCTCATCATTTTACACTTGAAATGGCTGCTAGATGCAACTGTAAGTTCTATGCTAACAGTTTTGTCTCTTGCAATTCTTGTTTATGGAATTCTCTTCCGGATTCTTCCTTTCCAGTCAACTTTGATCTTCAAAAATTTAAATGCAACATCGATCGTTATCTTCTTTTCATAATTCTTGTTCTTTTATCATTCTCTCTCTCCTTAATTATGTTTTTTCCTCATAGTTACACACACTCAGTAATCTCATGTGTCTTAGTGGCTTTATTGCCTTGCTTGGAGAGAAATGATTAAAAAAAAATGTTTATTGAAACTAATAAGATAAGGAAGTTTGAAAATTTTTGCAACTGTACTACAGGCTAAGGTTATTTACAAATGTCAAGTTTTAAGATGTGCTATCATTATTGATATTTGCATTAATCTTCTGAATTTTTAAAACTTTTTATCGATTTTTTCAGAAGCACATGCACAAACATTTGAGATTCACAGTTATTATTTATTTTTAAAAATAAGTTTAATACGTTTATACTTTTTATGCGTATACGCCACGGTATACAATACATAATTTTATTAATTTATGTATTGTAAATTTTTGTTTTTTACTTTAAAAAATTTATATTCGTTTGTTCGTTATTTAAGAGAAATATTTTAATAATTTCAACAACTAAAAACAAAGTAGCTAGACCAATAACTCTGTAAAAGTCGGGGATCGATTTCACACTGTATCGACAAACACACCCTCTCTAACTAAATCTAATATTTTTCCGATTCTAATAAGTGTCGCAACCTAAGGATGGTTTGAAAAATTTCTCTATTTTTTATAAGTGAACCAGTCTATTTATTTTTTTAATTTTATGTAAATAAAAAAATAAAATAAAATACTAAAAGAAATGGCCATATTTATTGCAAGTGTCTAAAAACGTCTTCTTCTTCATTTACTCTCATATAGTCATCATAACAAATGTAAATAATCTCCAGACTGACATTTTTTAACAGGTCATAAAATTTTACAATTTTTTATGCGGAGCATTAAAAATAAAAATACTCTTGCTTGAGTCTTCTTACTGCTATTTCACTTTCAGAAATAATCTGTCGTAAGAATGTGTTGCTTTTTTTTTATATATATATTCGTAGAGTAAATAATGAGAAAATTGAAATCTATTTAAAAATTTAATTTTTTTTTGTTTTGTTTGAAAAATTTTAATCGAAGTGTCCTATAGAATCTGAGAAAATGGTGATGTTTATTTTCTTTTAGTTTTTAATTTTATAAAATAAGAATTAATAATGATAATTTATTTCAATTTTTTTTTTACTCAATTGTTCTTGATTTGTGTGAAGGACAGACATGTGTACTACAAATAAAATAAGCCCTTCAATATACTAATAATTTTACAACTTAAAGAAAAATACTATTTACAAAAGTTAGTTTTAATTGCAAATAAATAGTACTAAAACATTAATTTCAGCAAGAAATTCAATGTAAAATAATTTTTTTTAATAATTAAAAAGAAAAATTAAAAGAATTCCATCTGATGGTGGTTTTTCTTTGTGCTGTGTCTCTTGAGGACGTTGGCGATCATAGCTCTCCATAATTTCCTGTCCTTTTTTTGTAGCTCAAATGGTTACTAAACCAAAAGAAAATGGATAGATGGACAATAATACAATGTCAAAGATGACCCCTCAGCCACGTAAGTTTAAAGTTTAGTAAGTAGTAATATTTTTAGTAAGTTTCACTTGTGATTAAACAGGAGGAAAATATGTTTTTTAGTTCCTTAATTTATTTAATTACAAAACAAAATGATTTCAATGAAGAAGAAGATTCTCTTGCAGGTTTTATTTACTTTGTAATGAGTCATGTGTAGTGTAGTACTGGAACTATATGGCATATTGTTTTTTTTTTTAGTTTTTGTTTTTGAGGCCGTCATTTCAATTCTTTAACCACGAAGATAATCGAAATCCTGGGCAAAGAGAACTTGAGAACTCATTTTTTCCTCAAATTTTAATAACAAAAACGAGTGGAAACAATGAGTATATGAAAAATGAACATCAAACAACCCAGGATGAGCCGGATTGTACAAAAGACAATATGATGCATGTGTTTTTTAAAAAAAAGTGTAGCTTACCAAAAGAACTAAAAATAAAATAAGTAACATTTAAAATTTGTTTTATATTTTATTGAAGTTCGAAAGCAAAAACATTATCAAATGATAATCGTTGAAAAATGAAAATATTTCTTAAACCTAGTTAATTGTTTAACATTTTTAATTTAAAAACAAGCACATTTCTTTTTTTAAAGTTGCTTTTACCTGCATCATGAAAAATAAAGTTACTAAAAAAGACTTTTTTAAATGTGAGACCTAGTAAAAAAAAAATAGATAATTCAATTATTTACGATCTTGATAATCCGTAAATTTGAAAGTTATTTTTTTCCAAGTCAATATTTTTCTTTCTAATCATTACTTAGATAAACGATCATTTATTTAAGGATAAAATCTGAAACTTTATAATTTAAATACGATATCCAAGATTCCGCCTACCTGAGTGAAAGAGACATTGTAAATGTAAAGTGGAGTAAGATTTCTTCTTCGTCGATTTATTACTGAACAAGACTAAGAAAACTCTTAGCCACCATAACGTGGAGTAGAAAATAACGATTTCCAAGTAGAGGTATCACGTGACACAAAAGTCTCGTTCTCAGCTTTGACAACTGGTTGCTAATGTAAAGCGCGCACGCGCATACACACAGAAGGTTATGTTTTTCCGCTGCATCCTCTGTATTTTCCTTACTACTGCAGTTCTGATCTCATGTTTAGCAGAGAAGCTGCTTGAATGGTTCGATAAAAGCATCTTTGTATTCAGCTGTTTTAGAATTTTTATATCTAGTTTCCTAATTTTATTGTAATGTAAATTATGGAGAAATATAATTCAAGTTGTTAAGTATAAAAAATATATATGTAAATAAATGACAAGGTGGAACAGATTTTTTTTTAACCATCATCATCATCACCACAATCAAGGCAATCTCACTAATAAAGCCACAAAAACACAAGGGGGTCACAGGATGTGGAAAAATTAAGAACAGGAATATTAATAATGAGCAGGAAGAGAAAAAGGCAATTAGGAGGACAGTAGATAGTGATTGATATTGCATTTAAATATTTGCAGATTAAAGATGGCTGGAAAGCATGGAGCCGGAAGGGAGTTCTACAAATGAGAAGTGCAAAAAAAGAAACTGTTAGCATAGAACTTATGGTTACATCTAGCCAGCTTGACTGTAAATTGATGAGATCTTGATGCCAGTCTAGTACTGTAATTAAATTCAAAAAGTTTAGGTACCATAGTGAAGAGCTAATCCAAACAATTATCATGAAAATATTTACAGAAAAAACACAGAAAAAGGTCTTCTGGCAATGATTTTTATTGATGGAATCCATTCTAAATGCAAAATGAAAAAATTCAATCGACTCAAGCTACGGTGTTTGCAATTTACATCTCTTGGATTCCAAAAAAATGCAATGCCTAAATTTTAAAATGCATTTTAAAAATGAAAAGTCTTTCTTGAAGCTTTTATTTTAACTTTAATCTTAAGCTAAGAGATTAAATTAGATATTTGCAATAATCAAATTACTTTGCTGTATTTCAAGCTGAATTTAAATTGATTGGAATTATTTTTTTAAATTGTTAAAATCTGCCATATTGACAAATATATCAATATAATATAATACTCTTTATTAAAAAAATCTTTCAAAGATAAAATATACTTTTCTGAAAAGAAAAAAATTAAAAGGAAAATTAACTGATTTAAAGTTTAATTAATTTGGATTAAGACAAATATTACTTTTAGTTTAAAATATTGCAGAAAAGCATTTTTAACAGAGGTGCATGTTTTTATAAAGTATTGAAAGATTTTATTAATAACTTAATGTTTGGCATTTTTAAGTAAAGGGCCCATAACTGTATAAATTACTTGATGAATACAATGTGAATGTTCTTTTTTATAAATTTTTAACTATCCAGTAATCTTCAAAATTTATTAAAATATTCTAGTATTTTGGCTTTAAAGTCTTATTTATGAAGATGGCTGTTGAGGGAATATTGGAAAATTACCAATAAATGTTAAACATTACTTATTTTATGACAGTGTTGTGTATGGATGTATGTATTGACAAAAATCAACACATTTATACAGGGACACACAAAAATTGTATGAATTGTAATAAGCTTTTCTATTAGTAAATATAGTTTTTAGTTAATAACAAAATCACCTAACCACTACAAATTAATACAGAATTTTAAAAGTTTTCAAATTTTATAAATTATTAAAAAAAAAAGTGAAAACAATTCTTGTAAAAATTCAGTATTCATCGGAAATTTTTTTTGAAGATAATAGTGACAATAATATATCTTATTCATAATTATTGCAAATGAAAACTTTTTTAAATAAATATTGTCTTTGTTTTATTGCATATTTAATGATTCAAAGCAGATTTTCAGTAACTGGTGGGAGGCTGTTTGGCAGAAAAAAATTGACAATTTAAATTCTATAAGAACTTGTCCTTATAACTAATATGAGCATTAAGTCCTACAAAAATGAATTTATCAAAATTTCATAAAATTAAATAATTTTTGTTGTGTATGTGTTGGGGAGGAGGTTAACAGATGTAAAAAAATTATTTTTACCAAAATAAGAAAAAATCAAAATATTTTAAAAAATCAAAGAAGAATTTGTGAATAAGTTTTGAAAATTTCATTAAAATCCAACAATTATCTGATTTTTGTAAAATTTCCAAATAAATATTTTTTTTTACAGCAAAAAAAATTATGGTCACCTGTTAATAAACATTATAAGAAAATAAAAATTTTAGCCAGTTTTTTAAGGTAAAAAATGAAAAAAGAATTTGTTTTAAAAAATCTTTTTCTGATATTTTAATGAAATTAAAATATTTAAACAAGATTTAAAAGTTTTCAAAAAGGATTAAAAAAAATTTATTAAATCTTTTGATATCATTTACATTTAAATAAATTTGCAAAAAAAAAAAAGTCAAGACTCTTAAACAAATAAATTTATCTTATAAAAATCATTTAATAAAAAAAACAAAAATTTTTACAATGTTTCTGACTATAAAAAATACAATACAAGGCCATGCAAAAAATTTCCCTTGTTATCAAGGAAACTAAAAAGGCAGATTAATAATTAAACAATATAATTTTTTTATTACAAAAAATAGTAGAATGAAAAAAAATATTTTTCCATAACATGAATTTTTTAAAATTTAATTTTAGAGTAACAGTTCATATAAATCAATTTCTTAAAAAAAAAGAAAAACATTTTTCAAAAAATTCATAAAATTCAATTTGTCAAAGTTAAAAAAATATTGAAATTTGATCAAGAAAAGATTGATTTACCTTGTGAATCTCAAATTTTGAATAATTTCTTTAAAATAAAAATATCCAGGGCCAAAGAACAAGTAAATATAAATGATTAACACATTTTTAAATACATTCAAAGAAGTTTAAAAGGTTTTTTTTTTTTTTAAATTTTTCTTAGTTTTCTTAAATATAAGAATTTATAGTAATAGTAGTAAAACAAAAAATAAAACTTTTTAGTCAAAACGATTTCTCTTTATGTAGTAAACAAATGATTCTAACTAAAAAATCTTCAAGTACTTTTAAATGAGAAACAAAATAAAAAAAACTTGAAATTTACTATCCAGTCAAACTGTGTCCAGTTGAAATCTAAATTTGTCTCATTTTTGACAATATCAAAGCCTTGCCTCATTTTTGACAATATCAAAGCCTTAATTTTTTTTTAAAATTTGAACCAGAATGTTTAAATAATAAATTTATTTTGATAGTTTATTTTTTTCAAAGGAAACTTTTAGTTCATTAACATGGTTGATGAAAAAAAGGTAATAATGTAAAAGTTGATATTTTGCTTGGAACATATGACAATTATATAATTATCTTTACACATGTAAAAGTGTGTGTGTGTGTGTGTGTGTGTGTGTGTGTGTGTGTGTGTGTCTTTGTTTTTATTGATAGAATTAATTTCAGTTTTTTTACCTAGGAAGCTGAAATTTAAAAAATGAGGTACATAAAAATGAAGGTGAAAGTCAAAAAATTATGTAAATTTTTCTGACTGCATGTGAGTGGATTTATTGAATTGTTGCTTATTTTATTGGCAACATTTATTAATAAAGAATAAAAATTAATTTAAATTTAAATAAACTAAATTAAGATTCACTTATTTAAAAAATATATATATGAGATTTAAATTTGATCCATTGTGCTTTACCATTAATGCTTTCAAAATAAATATTTAATATTTTTCAACCAACAAGTCATGTTCCCAATAACCATAAAAAAAACTTAAATGATTTTTTTAAATTTTGGTATTTAAAAGTAATTCTAGATGGAAAAAACAGTAAGCATCAAGACAAATGGCAATAGATGGTAACATTTTTCATGAACACCAGTTTAAAAAAAATTTCTTTAAAATTCACAAATTTTCCTCACCAAAAATTAATTTATTTTTAATTTTAAAAATTTTTATTTTTTAATTTTAACATATGGACATTAAAGACTAAAAGAATTTTGTAAAAATCAAAAAAAAAAATATCTTATATTTTCATAACATAAAAACGTTTTTTCAATTTCTTTTTTTGGGTTGTTTTAAAATCCATAACAAGTATTTTAAATTCAAATAAAACTGATTAAAAAGAGATTATAGAAATCAAGCATGTTTGAAAATTGTTATATTTTTGTATGCATACAGAAAAAAAATTAGGAATAAAAATAGTTTAAATTAGTAGAAAGTCATAAATTGGCTTTTTTTTTAGTAATTTTTTATGTTTGCAAAACTTATTAAAAATTAACAGATTTAAATATTACTAAAACAAAATTTGTTTTTTAAAAAGGAAAATAACTTTATAATCTTGAGGTTCGTCCAAGTAACAAACAATTTTTAAAAAACATTTTTTTGAATAATTTTTCATTTTGCAAAATGAATCAAAAAATCTGTTAGTTTTTAAAGAAATAATTAAAATTGTTTTTTTGAATATTTTTTCATTATTTAAATTTTTTTTTTTTTTCTCTTTATTTCAAAATTAAAATTTTCTTTTTTTTCAGTAAATGCAACGTTTAATTTTTATTGTTCGGAGAAAAAATGTCAATGGTTCAGCAAACAAAAATTTTTTTTATTCCATGAATTTCTTGTCTATAGTATTATTTAATGAAAATTTTTGTATAATTTTATTTTTATGGCATATTGTTGGAAAATCCAGAAATTAAAACAAAAAAGTGTTTCAGTTCTTTCTTCTTAATAATAAATTAAAAATTAAAAATAAAAATTATTAAGAATGAGGAAATTTTTTTGAAAATTATCTATCAAAAGAAACCGCCTTCAAAAAATTTTAGTGGAAGGACCTATATTAAAATCTTTGGAAAAAATAAATTTTTGACTCATTTATAAATAGTATCCATGAGATCGGTAAAAAAAAATATGTTTTAGCATGATGAAAAAGACGCCAAACTTGACGAAGACAAAATTTTAGCGTCTAAATGTTTATATTATTATTAAGAGGAAAGATCAAATTTTTT